TATTTTTCTTACTAAATTCTTCACTTTTATAAAAAGCCATCACGATAAGAATCAAATATCAAAATTATTTAAGTTTGCAAACGGATCACTTGTTCACTATACGTCTCTGGAATATATTTGCGAATGGCAATTAGCGATACGTTAGACTGCCGGAGTGCTGACGTCACGAATGTCAAATTGCTTTCCAAATGAGCTTTAGTTCTTTTATATTTCTATTGAGCTCTTCCAAATGACGTCACAAGTTAATATAAAATGTAAAAAATAGGTGACTGCTGACCACCGCCGACTTTTGTGTCTGGTATTTTCAAACGCCTATGATGGGTGCGCATGTTGCAAAATCTGTGAATTTTTTCTATATGTGGGTGAAGGCGGTTTGACATAATTTTTGCGCGAACTTTACCTCCGATAACCAGTAGTGAAATTCCTCGGTAGCGTCCGCAATCTGATGCACTTCCTTTGTTCTTAAATATATTTACTATATTCGCGTTGCGAAAGTCCTGAGGTACCTCTCCGCTTTCCCATATGACATCGAAGAGAGCCTTAAGATGACCAATAAATTCTTTGCTTGCACACTTATAGATTTCCGCTAGAATCGCGTCACAGCCAGCCGATTTGTTGTTTTTAAGTTGTTTTATGGAGGCCTTTATTTCCTGTTCCGTTATTGGGATATCTAATACATCAATGCTGTTATACTGAGGTATTGTGTTTAGTGCTTACACATTGGGGATATTGTCTTGGTTAAGGATATGGCTGTAATGCTCTTTCCAGCGATTTCTGATTTGCACTTCCTCTTGTAGAAGTTCACCGTTTTGTGCCTTGATTGGGCAGCTTACGTTCTTAGTTGGGCCGTATATTTCTTTTACAGCCTCGAAGAATTTACGATAGTCGTGATGCGCGGCGTACTCTTGAATCTGATTTGCTTTTTGTAACCACCAGTTATCCTTTAGTTGGCGCAGGTTTCTTCGAAGCGTGTTGTTGGCTGCTATAAAGTTGTCCACCGGCCTTGGATTGTGTGGATTTGCAGTGACGTACTCTATGCTTTTGTTCCAACAAAGCCTGTATATGTGGTTGATCTTCGTTAAACCAGTCTTGTTTCTTTTTGTTGGATTTTCCCAGTATTTCTTCGCTGGTATTATAAATCGCATCCCTCAATTATGTTCAGCCTTGTTCACCTTCGGAGATTAAAGTTATCGGTGGAAGTGCTTCTCTGATGGCTTCCCGGAGAGCGTCGGCGGTGTCGTTGTTCGTTAGACTCCGTACGTTTAATCTGGTCATGTTCTTTTACTTTTTGCAGTGTCGATGTTTGGATTTTAATTAAAGTTTCATTTTCGAAACTACAAGTTGGTGGTCAGTACCACATTCGGCATCTATTCTGGCTTTTGGAAGTTTGACATCTTTCAGATGCTTCCTTCAAACGATGACGTGGTCCAATTGATGCCAGTGGCCTGATCTGGGATATTTCCAGGTACCTTTAAACTTGTCTTTCAGCATAAACCATGTATTGGTGATGCAAATGTTGTACTCTGTGCATGTTGTTAGCAAGCGTTCACCAATGCTATTTACATTTCCCATTCCATGTTTTCCCAATACGTCTGGCCATATTTCTTGCTGATTGCCGACACGTGCATTAAAGTCACCTAGCAAGATGATTCGCTCCTGCTTTGGAATTCGTTGGAGAGCATTTTGTAGTGATGTAAAATTACCGGTAATATTGGTAATTTATAAAAAAAACAGAAGAGAGAAGAACAAAAAAACATTTTTAAATATATTTTTTTTAATTCAAAACTGTAACAACATTACAAAAAAAGGAAAGAACGTTTTTTAAACTAGTCAGAGTCAGAATTGTGGTCTATATTATAGCTATTATAGTTATCTGGTTCGTTAATTGAGTCAAGTCTATTACTTCGAAATCGATATCTTCCTCTTCTTCCAACTAATTATGGGCAATATAAGTAAGTTTTCAGGGCCCTTTCCACGGTAGGTTGGGTGTCCTCTGTTTCTTCTTGGCCGGTGAATAAGTAAAGAGTAATATTACCGCGGTAATATTACTCTTTACATCACTAGTCATGCCTCCTTGCATATTCTCCTTCACCCATATATTATGTGTCTGTTCTGCTGATTGAGGTAAGGAAGGGCTTTATAGGTGAAATTTCCGTTGGTAAAATCAGGCCTAGTAATTTTATCCTACAGCAGCATAACTAGAAAATATTAAGATATTTACGGGCATATTTAATCGTTAAGATTATGAGAAAGAAAGCTTCACAAAGTCTGCTCTAAAGCAAGAGGTCCTAGCGGCTACAAATCTGAAATGAGAACGAGAAAAGAATTATTAGTTATGTGTAGTATAATGTTTAATCACCTTCCAAGATTGCATTAGTTACAAATAAACATATTTATTTCAGATAAATAGTCTGGCTCTTGGCACAATATTTGAATCGATCTTTGATCTCAATGTTTTCGTTACATAAAAAGATATATAAATATCTTATATTTTTAAAAAACAATTGATAAATAGTTTAATTTTTAGATATAATTTAATTAAAATGTTAGATATATCGTCTACAATTTAATTCGTTAGTAGATATATTTTTTTAGTGTGTTATAAAAACTAATTATTCAGGGTCGGTTTAATGGAACCTTTTTTATTAATTCCATATGTAAATATCAATACTTATTTTTATGTAAAAAGAATTTGAACACAGAAATATCTAAAATATCATCTTTAACTATTATCAGTTCCGCATGTTTTTACCCAATCTACAGGGGGTTAATCACTGTGACCTTAAAGATCTATTGTGTACCCCCCTCCTTAATTTCTAGATCATCACACAGTCTGTAACCCATCAGACATTTTCCTGTTGAACAGGGTATTTCCCATCCTCGTCAGAAAACAAATGTTCTTCCGAGGGTACACACCCTTCCACGGTGGGAGTTTAGCCCTTCGTGCCCATCACAGTCGAGGAGCTTACCTCCGGCAAAGGTACCCATGAGGTGGAGGCTGGAAGATCTGTCTCCATTTTCTTCACCTCTTTAACTTGGTCCTCTCCTTAGAACTGATACCGGTGTTGTCTCGTCTCAGAGGATATCTCCCTCTTTTCATATTGCCTCCTTGGAATTTTGGTCAATTCCTATTGTGAGGACCTGGGCATGACCCTCCGCCCTCGAGTTGATGACTCGCCAACTCGATGTCCTTTCATTTGAGTTTGAGCCTGGATAAGGCTCAGCAGGTAGGTCGTGCTTTCTCCTTGCTTCTCGACACAAAGACTGTGATGACCGCCCTTTTGGGATGTTTTCCCCCTTCAGTGCAACCAGTCCTGGCCCTTACCAATTTTTAAGCTTAGGTGCGATTTCCACCAACCAATCCGCCGATTCTTGAGAAACACAATCAATGATGATCATGCCCACCCGAAAGTGTATCCCCGCAAAACGCAGCTCACCCACATTTTGCAGATCGTTGTGTTGCGATCCGGTCGCCACTACTTCATCCAGCATCGCCTCTTCTAGAGCTGTTTGCTGGTCCGTGATAAGTGCAACCTCTGGGTAATCCTTTGGCAGCACCGCCATTTTTACTTGTCCAGCAATAACGGCAAAGCTGGTGATAATTTCCTGCTTGCCTCCAGGGCCAGGGGTGTTGGGCGGCTTTCCATCCTAGTTAGGCTCCTTGTCGGAGCAGAGGTGTAAGGCTCTCGCACCTTTCTTACCCTTTGGTGAAGATGCGCCAGACTGTTTCTTGGTTCCTTTACTCTCCCTTTTTCCGAGGAATGTTTTCGCTTTTGCTTCCTCTGGAGCAAGTCCTTCGTGGAGCAGTCGTAGGTATCGCCGTGTTTCTGCTCAGCTAAAACCTACTCTCAGAGAATCGTCTAGCCCGCCTGGTTGACCCAGACCGGGTAGACGAAACGGTAGCTTGTGTCGCTCCTGACCCTTGCTGGAGGAGGTGGTACCTTGTGTGCCACTTGTGGAGGATGATCTCAAGCAAGTTTCAGCCGCCTCTCCTGTAGTTCCCTTTGAGTTTGGTCCCTTGGAACTTTGATTGTTAATGTTCGAGTCGCTAGGGATGTAGAAGTAAGGTAAATACAATGATGTGCCCCCTCGTGCCCCAAGCTTGAGACCAGTAAAGGCTAGTCCTGTATCTAGCGACGCATCCCTTTGACCTGGTCCCGCCATCGTAGGATTTAGGTTTTTGATGAGGTTGTCTCCTCTTGGTTCGGGCGGTTAAGCCAAGAACTTTGATTGTACACCCTCTACCTGTGAGACATCCATATCTGTCCGGCATCGTTATATGTCATGGTGCCGGTCTTGGTCTCCCTAGCCACGACACTACAGCCAGGAACAAGACAGTGAGATACTTCTTAGACCAAGCTAAAGTGCTAGAGGAGATTCCCTCCAGCACCTGACTAGGAACTTCCCCACCAACGACAAGGTCCTGCATCTCCTAGGGAAAGAATATATAGGGTGCGATTTCCACCAACCAATCCGCCGTCTCTTGAGAAACATAATCAACGAGGAGCATACGTCTATCTAAGCTAACCCCCAATTCCCGAACATCCCACAACTAGTAGCTCTTCTCAAGTAGCAACTTGAGATGAGCAACTCTTAGCAACTTTTTTTTTAGTTTCATTTATTTTGCATCTCTATTGTTATAAATTACAGTATGTCTGTTTTATTCATAAAATAATAAATATAAGGTTTTACTGACTGCCCTTGGACGATTGTATTGGGTATAATTAATATTTTCCCAAATTGGTATCTGCACTTTAGTTTTATGTCTGCATAACTCATATTATATTATAATATATGCATTTATATTATATTATGGTAATTTTGTTACGTATTTTACATATGTAAAAAAGTGTAATTAATAAGAACAACAAATTTAACAATCTGGAAAATGTTTACATTTACCAGCATTTACCCATATCTGATGAGCACCCACGAGGTTTTATAAAAGCCGGCGCCCCTGATATCATGAGTTTAATGGTTAATTTTGCTTTTTGTTTCAGGTGGTGGAGTAACGGGATGTAGTACTTTTTACCACTTGACAAAGAGAGGCATCAAGCCAATTTTGTTGGAAAGCAATAAAATAACCAGTGGAACTACGTGGCATACTGGTGGTTTAGTATGGAGTTTAAGGTAATATTGTCTGGAAAGAACATAGGTAATTAAATAATAGTAAATTATTTTGAAGACCCAGCGATACAGATATACAAGTTTTGCGACGAACAAAAGAAATCTTAACGGAACTTGAAAAAGAAACAGAAGTTGACCCTGGATTCATTAACAACGGTGGCATATTTATTGCTAGAAATACCGTACGTATAAACCCCAAATGCCATTAATAATATTAATTTAATTGTGTATCTAATAAAATTTATTTTTGTTTGGCAGGATTCAAAGATTTAGCTATTTGCTTATTCTTTTACTAAAAATAATATGTAGCCAGAACATTCAAAAGTTGTTAAGTAAAAAAACTTAATGTTAAAATGAAAAACAAAGTCCAAACAACTATCAAAAATTCTTTATTAGTGACGGTTTCGGCTTTATTAGTGGTTTCGGCACAAAATATATATATTTTTTTCTAGTACAGTTTTCTACAATGAATTAAGTGACGCTACTCACCGTAGCTGCACAATTTTTATTAAAGGACGGGTCTGATGATGGCTGGAATTGCCAAAAAAACGGTCACTAATAAAGAACGTTTGAGAGTTTTTTTTACCATGGGCCACCACTTGTGAGAATAAACAAACTTTATAACTTAAAAAATAGTACACTATTTAAAACTTAATACTACTGATACAAAATAAAAATAATATTTAGGTGAATGTCCAATTCACTTATGCCTGATTTATTTGTCTGAGCGAAACTATCAAGCCCAATACTCGGATTACTCGGTCCCCTTTCCTCGCAGCGGTAATCGGACTTATCGCGAGCATTTTCGAAACTATTCGACTATTCCAATGAGCAAGATCCGCGAGTAAATTGGTCCGTTACACTCGTTACACTACAGGGGTGGACAACTTTTTTGTACAACTGTATACAGGGTGTCATTGAAATGGTTTAAAAAAAATCGTGGGTTAGAGGTGATAGTACTCCTAAAAATAATAAAAAAAGGTTCGTATAAGTATAGAGTGAAAAATGCATATTAAGGGAGTTAGGGGCACTGAAAGGGTGAATTTAAAAAACGATTGTTTTGCAATTGTGGGCTTAAAAAACGAGATAAAATTTCAAAAAAAAAATCCTCTGCCATAAATTTTGACCTTAAATCAAATGGTGACACTGAAAAATTATTTGGAAAAGCGGAAAGGGTAGTTTTTGCAAGGGTAGGATGTAGTTTCGCGAATAACTTTTTTGAGGTTATTTTTTTTGCAACGTGGGTTTTTTGAAAACTACATACTTTTTCCTACAAAAAAGGTATTCTTGTTGCACATCGCCCAGAGCGATGGTTTTCGAGAAAATTGACGGCAAAGAGTTTGCCCTGATTGGTTAATCAATATTAAATTAATTGGTTAATCAATATAATATAATTGGTTAATCAATATAAATTTATGAAAGTTATAGTGGTTCAAAAGTAACCATGTAGTTATTAAATAATTAATTGGAAAATCATAAATTTCATGATATTTAAAACATCTTATTGCTTTAAAAACGAAATAAACTTTTTTGGTTTTAAAAAAATTGGTTTACTCATAATACTGAAGAGCAACTACAGCAACGCATTATTGATTGTTCCAAACAAATTCGGACAACACCAAGTATATTCCACAGGGTACGCAGATGGTGGAGAAGAAGATCAGATGTCTGCATTGAAATGAATGGTGGTCACTTTGAACATTTACTATGAATGAATTAAGGAATGCATTATTTTAATAAGGAATTTTGGTAATTGGATTATTTCGTTTTTTAAAGCAATAAGATGTTTTAAAAATAATGAAATTTTGATTTTTCAATTAATTATTTGATAACTACTTGGTTACTTTTGAACCGCCATAACTTTCATAAGTTTATGTTGATTAACCAGTTAGGGCATCAGAGAACCCATCAGAGCAAACTCTTTTCCTTCAATTTTCTCGAAAACCATCGCTCTGGGCGATGTGCAACAAGAGTACTTTTTTGTAGGAAAAAGTATGTAGTTTTCAAAAAATGAACGTTGCAAAAAAAAACCTCAAAAAAGTTATTTACGAAACAACCCCCCACCGTTGCAAAAACTACCCTTTCCGCTTTTCCAAATAATTTTTAAGCATCACCATTTGATTTAGGGTCAACATTTATAGCAGAGGATTTTTTTACGAAATATTATCTCGTTTTTTAAGCCTACAATTTCAAAACAACCGTTTTTTAAATTCACCCTTTCAGTGCCCCTAACTCTCTTAATATGCATTTCCGCCTTATACTTATAGGGCGGAAAAAACTTTTATTACTATTTTTAGGAGTACTATCACCCCCCGATTTTTCTTACACCATTTCAATGACACCCTGTATAAGATCGACTTTTTACCTTAAATGTGTGTCGCGATCAATGACTAAAGAACACTAGAATATGTAACGCCCATATACGGGCTGCAGCAGAATTTGTGATGATAGACGCCATTTTTTTGGTTGTAGCGAATGAGTCATCAGCGACAATTTTAGCAATTTTTAATAGTTTATGTGTAGTGAACTTTGTATAAACTTTATGACAATGGTAATTAGTTCTTCAGCTTTCGAGTGTAAAAGCCGCATCCATAATAAAGAGTCAGAAGTTACGATTTATAGGTAAATAAACAGCCCACTTTTTAGCGTTTTTTTATTGAATTCGATAATTATTTTTCTCATATGATATGGTCTTTATATGCGCTATACGTCGATACTAGTTTTGTAGCTTTTGTTAACAATTTAATTCTTTTTTTCATAATTATGTATGCTACTAATAGCCTATTAATGCATACGTCGAATCAAGATTACGCTATGGCATAATACTGTGGGGAGCATCCACTAGGATTCGGGAGGTTTTCACTGTCCAAAAAAAAATACTTAGGTGTATTGCTCGTGTTTCTCCAAGGCAAACTTGTCGAGATTTATTTAGAGAGTATAAGTTACTAACTTTGACGAGTATCTTTATTCAAGAGCTATGTATATTTGTTTATAAACACCAGCATAAATATAAACTAATTTCTGAAGTCCATAATTTCAATACAAGAGCTAATCATAAATTTAATGAAATACCATGTCGTACTAATGTAATGTTAAATTCACCGCAGTGTTTAGGATTAAGAATATTTAATTGCTTACCAACTGAATTTAAATTAAGTAAGAATATAAATGTTTTTAGAAATAAGTTGAAAATTTTTTTATTAGAAAAAGTATATTACAACATAAATGAATTTTTTATGGAAAATGTATAATAAATTGTTAAAAGCATACGAAGAAAAAAGAAAGATATTGTTTGTATCAGTATTTTTTCGTTTTCGCATAGATGCATAAGTAAAAGGTTTATTATTGTATTTGTTTTAACTATTCTATCACAATTTTATATTGTAATTTAGAAATAAAGTTTATTATTATTAATTAGTATGGTACTAATATATGCCCGTAACCATAGGCGTAGTCAAAACATTTATCAAAAATATCAATATCTCTTTAAGGGGCTATGTTAAGAAAAATATGTGCCACGGCACTGTTTAGTGGTATGGTAACAATTTGGCCTCGGGTGTTATTTGTCCTTGCATTCTTTAGTTATTAGTCGCGATCATCATAGGCGTAGTCTAAGGACTCAAACGCACTGACGACCAGGTGGCCGCGACCAGCATTTGATTCACTGTTAATAGGAAATACAGCTACGACCAGTAATAGCATTCAATCAAATGCTGGTCACTGCGACCTGATGGTCAGTGCGTTTGAGCCCTAAGGGAGAAGAACGAATGTAAAATGGCATATATTTATACACTCCAATCACGACGGGTCTCGATCAATTTCAGGAAACGTGGGAACTAATTTTTATAACACGGGCTTATATTTATCGTACTATTTTCAGAAATGTTTTGCGAAATGTTTCACGAAATATTTGCAAAAATATTTCGTAAAACATTCCGGGGATAGTTTAGAGACTGTTTAAAACGGGAGAATTTACAAATGATATGAAAAAATGGCATAAAAACATTAAAATCTAATAAAAACATTGAATAACATTAAAAATACAGTATCTTAAAAAAATTGTGCGTAGCTATTGATAAACATGTTTTAAATGCGCCATTAAAATTTCTAAAAATGGAAGGCCCGGAGTCACATGAACAGAGACGAGTTCATGAAAAAATGTGTCAAAATTTTATAAATTATACTATATGTATTATTATATTTTCTTTAAGAATAAAGAAGGGATACACAGTTTAGTACTAATAATAAAAACATTTCAGGAGCGACTAGAAGAATATAAACGTCTACATACGTTAGGTCATTATTTCAATATAGAAAGTCAACTGATATCTCCAAAAGAAGCTCAGAAACTGTGCCCTATTCTTGAACCAACTTCATTTTATGGAGCTTTGTATTCACCTACAGATGGTTATATTGATCCGACTCTGTATACTAATGCACTTCTCAAAGCAGCCACAACTAATGGAGGCAAGGTAACAAATAGTTTTAGTTTTTTTTAGCACATCACAAAATCACTTTTTTATTACCAGAATCAGTACCAGAAAATTACATACCACGTAGAATGTAGAATGTAGAATGTTTATGAGGGGAGTTAATCACCGCGACCTTATAGATCTATTGTGTGTTCCCCTTTTGAGTTATAACGAGTTATAACTCATCATACAGTCTCAGCGCTTTAAGAAAAGCCAGTATCTGAGACGGCTCCACAGAGGCCAGCTCTCCATCCTCGACATCAGACGTACCAAGGTTCATGGCACGAATGGTCGTCGTCTCGGCGCACTCAGTGATAAGGTGTTCTGGTGTTTTACATACCACAAATATAATATAGTTGCAAAAAGCTACTCAGTGTCAATGTATAATATACTTGTCTTCTTCTTATGGTACCATTCAGATTACTGCATAGGCGTTCATCTTTTTCTTTCTCATCAGATGGTTCTATAAACGAGCGACTTAGACTAAGGAATGCTTGGAAGTCCTGTGTCTGTATGCTTGTCCAATGATGAATATTTATCAACCAGGATAGCTTTCTTTGGCCTATTCCCTTTTATCTCCTATGAGTAGATGCTGAAAGTGATAGCGTCAGCTCAAGTCCGAAATAGACTATTTTCAGTTCTTGATGATTTCGAAGATTTCGCGTTCTTCTGGGCCATCTCTTCTGAAAATGTCTTCATTTCTGAGATGGTCGACCCGGGATACTCAGAATTCGTCGCAGGGTCCACATTTCAAAGGCTTCAATTCTGTTAATAATTATTAGTTTCACTGTCCATCCTTCCACACCATATAACAGAACGGACCAGACATAGCACTTCGCCATTATGTAGGTATCTAAGGCCGAAGTTCAAGTTCCTATCTGTGATAAATCTTCAAAGTTTTAGAAAAGTTATTCTAGCTTCTTCGGTCTTATTTCCTGATCTAGATCCCATGTTGGCCAAATTAGCTTGCATGCTGGCCTTATTTAAAATCACAACCATCGCATATCTTATATTACTAATTGGAATGCTATTTATTTTTATGCCAATGGAACTGTCGGAGGATGATTCAGTGGATGCTCTTTCTATGGAGCTATATTTCTATAAGGTGAACTACATTGGAGACAAAATATTAGAGATGAGCAACAAATCGCAAACTGCTATTCAAATTCAAATTCAAATTCAATTTTTTTATTAGACCCCATTACGTTTTACAGATTAATAATTTTACTGTTCTTAATAAATATGTGTCTAAAGGGATCGCACCTTGATTAAAAACTGATACAAAGACACAAAGTGCCACAGTGGTGCGACTCCAAAACAAAATAGAAATAAGTTACATTACAAAAATAAACAGAAACCGGATAAATAAACAAAAAAAGATAAAATATAATTTTATCAGAGATGAGCGGAGATAAGCAGAGAGGCATAACGAAACAGTGTAAAATCCGGAACAGCAACCAATGACGGACATATCAGAAGAACAAGAACATCACAAATCTTTTTTTATAATCTGTAAAGGATTGAAATTTAAAGTTATTAGGAATATTATTCCACAAATGTGGCGCTATGAAACTGAAATATTTTTGGAAGTTAGCTGTTCGGTGTTGAGGAATTTTAACATAATGCACTTGTCTAGTCGAATGAGCATGGTCAACGTAGTGAAATAATGAGAACAAATAGGGAGGCTGCTCTGTAGTTAAAATTCGATAAATGAATGTCATTAAATAAAATTGTCGTCTGTTAGTCATGGATAAAATAGATAAATTTTTAAGATGTGGCGTTATATGATCTCTAAAGGGAATGTTAAAAGAAAACCGTAGACACGAGTTTTGAAGTATTTGGATTTTTCTAGAGAATCTAGCGTTTATGGATGTACCATAAACAACATCGCCGTAATCAAATAAAGATAAAATAAGTGTGTCACATAATTGATACTTAGTCTTTGATGGTATATATTTCTTAAGAGATGAAAAATTCTTCAAACGTATATATAAGCAGCCTTTAATTTAGTAGTTACATGTGCCTGAAAAGAAAGCTTCGCATCAATATAGACTCCAAGATTTTTAGTCTCTATAACAATGAGTATCACAGCACATATTTTCTATATGGATATTCATTTTACCAGCCGTATTTGTAATTTTGTTTATATCACTACCAAATACTATGACACAAGATTTACCGGCATTTAATTTCAAATTATGATCCAGAGCATATTTATTAATTTTATTCAGATCGTGGTTAAAATTTAACTGAAATTGTTCCAAATTATTAATATCTATTTTGCAATAAATTTGAGAATCATCTGCATATTGCTGCAATTTAGAAAACTGTATTTCCTTATCCATGTCAGCTACATATAACGAAAATAAAAGTGGCCCCAGAATAGATCCCTGAGGAACACCAGAAATCATAGGAATATAACTAGATTTTTGTTTTAAACTTCCTCGTTTCATGACAACACAATGTGATCTATCTTTTAAAAGGTTTTTTAACAATTCTAAAGAGCCGTCTGAAAATCCAAAATACTGTAATTTTGCGAGGAGCAATGAATGGTCTAGAGTATCAAATGCTTTACTAAAGTCTAGTAAGCTAAGAGAAGTCATATTTTTATTTTCTTGATTTGTTCTAATATCATTAACCAGCTTCAGTAGACAAGTGGTAGTGCTGTAGTTCTTACGAAAACCATATTGTCATTCAGGTATTAGTTTATTTGAATCTACAAATGAAACAATTTGATTATGTAGATGTTTTTCTATAATTTTGGAAATTGCTGGCAAAATACTCACGGGTCTTAGATCGTTATTATTTAAAGGTTTAGAAATTTTACAGAGAGGTGTTATAATAGAGTTTTTCCATATTTCGGGATAGACACTGTTTAAAATAGAAGTATTAATTATATTTATTACCGCTTTACCACAGTAAGGCATGCACAGCTTTAGTGCTTTAATTGAAAAATTATCTTCACCGACAGCATTAGACCGAATAGAATTTAATATTTGATGTAACGATACCTCATCTATTAGTTTGAAATTTAGAACATTATTTCCTATTTTCTCATGCTTATTTTGTCTATAAAATCTATTATTTTATTTGAGGTAGTATTAATGCCATTATGACAGTTCGAAAAAAATATATTAAGCTTATCTACATCCGCTAAGTTTTCAGGAACTTCCGGACTTGATTTAAATGTTAACTTAAGTCGTTTAGCATCTTTCCAGAAGTCTTTACTAATCTTTTCCGATAAACCCTTAAAATAACTAATTTTTTCTCTAACTATAGCATGTTTTGTAAAATTCCTGAGTTGACGATAATATTGTAATTTGGCTTCAGATCGTTGTTTTAAATACTTTTGATGTGCCTTGTCTCTAAGTTCGATTAATAATTTAATATTATCCGTTATCCAGGGTAAATATGGTGTATCTGTGATTTTCTTCTTTTGCAACGGTGCATGTTTATTGAGGAGATAAAAAATGTAATTATATAGAGTTCTTATTTTAATATTAATAACCGCTATATAAAAAATATTTTCCCAAGGTAACATAATTGCATCTTTTTTAAAATTTTCCTGGTTAATATGATTATAATCTCTATATTTAATATATTTCGCAGAGCTATGGGATATTTGTAGAGTAAATATAACATATATCAAACAATGATCAGAAAGTGACTCAGATACAGGGACGGAAGTGCTGAAATCATAATTAAAATTATTATTTGTGATCATTACATCAATTAGACTGCAGGCACCATCCGATATTCAATCGCAGCGATATTAAAATCGCTATCGAAACCTGCTCTCATAGGAAACTGCGACTGCGAATTTATCTGCGCTTCTATCTGTAAATTTAGGCAAACAATATTACTATAGTCGCGATTTGCGATTTTGCTGCGATTGTGACTTTATAAACTAGGACCGTGATCGGAGTTAAATTTTTAGGAGTTGCGATTTGCCATTTTGTCGATAATGTAATTTTGTAGTAAATTGACGCATTTTTTAGTAAACTACGATTGAATTTTTTCTCTGATTTTATTTATTTATAGAAGGTATTATTTCCTAGGGCCAAGATATACCGAGTGATTTTCAAGAGTAGTTCGCCCCTATAATTTTTTTATTTCTGATAAAAAAACGATATTTGGTATGTTAGCATATGACATAAATTAGGATTGATTGACGGACTCAATTCGTTTCGATAACTTCCTGTTTCGCCGGAAATAACTAAAATTTTTGATTTTTAAATGGCACCCTCGGTATTTTTTTACCTTATTTGATAGAAAATGATACTCTGAATTGAATGACATTTCATATATCAACTTTTGACATTTACGCTTAAAAAACCATATTTTAAATTTCAATCTAGAGTGGCATGACTGTGTTAAAACGATTAATGTTTCATCAAGGATCCTTGGAAAAAATATTTAATTGTCTATTGTTTTTCATATGTTGTCCTGGCCGATTAAAAGATGCCCAAATCGTATTTTTAATCATATCTCAATGCTTTCAAATAGAGTGAGAGTGGCTCATTTCTAGCCAAATTGTCGTTATGAATGGCATGTTCTATTCTATTCAGAGTGACATTTTCTAACGAAAAAAGTAATAAAAAAACCGAGGGTATAATTTAAAAATCAAAAGTTGTAGTTATTTCCGGTAAAACAGGAAGTGATCGAAAAGAATTGAACACGTCAATCAATCCTAATTTATGTCATATGCTAACATACCAAATCTCGTTTTTTTTATCAGAAAAAATAAAGAAGTTATAGGGACAAACCACTCAAGTGAGAAACACCCAATATATTATAATCTTGGCCCTAGAATATAATACCTTCTCTATAAGTAAATAAAATCAGAGAAAAAAATCAATTGTAGTGAAATGAAATAAAATGCTTCAATGGACTACAACATTACATTCGCAAACAAAATCGCAACTCCTCAAATCAAAAGTTGTAGTTATTTACGGTGAAACAGGATTGAATAAAAATCAATTGAATACGTCCTGATACAGTCCTGATTTATGTCATATACTATTGTATTGTATTGTATTGACTAAGAGTGGGTCCCAGGTGGGACCCTCCACTGCGGCCGCGAGGGCCTATTGTGGCTCAGAAACAAGCTCTTTAATAGGAAAAGAGCGTTAAAGTTCAGCCTCAAACATAAAAAAAACATTGTAAACATTGGAACTTTTTTTGCAACAAAGATTATAACCGGAACTCAATCAATATTTTCTAATGCGAGAATAGTGCAAAATATGCCTTTTTTACTTCAACTTCCTCTGCGATTTCTTATTCACGATCGATTTGGTTCGTGAAATATCTAACACGTTTGATTTGCTTATTCACGATCGTTGCGTCTTTTGTATTGATTCGTTTCTATTCTTCTTTCACGAATTTACTGTTGACATGAGGCGTTGTCCACGAAAGTGTGGGCCACGATGGTGCTTCACTACCCGTGTCAACGTCAAGCTTTAAGCTATAGGTACATACAGACAATTATACATATACCTAGTACAATTTTTAAATATTAAAATCGCAATCGCAGGTTACAGTCGCAGCGATTTAAAAATCGCAACCGCAGTTTTAGTTGCGATTGGAGAATCGCAGTTTTGCTCATCTCTGCAAAATATACTCTATCTTACTCCAGTCTTTATTTCAAAACATTCTGTAATAAATATACCTGTAAGATATCATAAACAATTATTATAATATTACAATAAACCGAAATTTAAAGTTTATAATATATAGCATTGCATCTAATCAGCCCATAAAATGCTCACATAAATGAAAATACGAAGATAGTGCAAGTTATCAGGTAGTCACAGACCCTCTATGTATAGAGCATTGTAATATTTTTTTGTAATTATCTTATAATAACTATAATCAACAAAGATTATTTTCTTTCTAACAATATCCAAAAATTTGTATTCGATTTTGATAAAATAGTTTAATTTAGGTTTTCGAAAACACCATCGTCACGAAATTACTCACCGAAGAAACAAGTCAAGGATTAAAAAAAATTGTCGGAGTTGAAACAAATAAAGGTTAGTTAATTGTATTTATATGAAACATTTGAAAAAGTATTTAGAGATGTAGTATTTCGATAACAAGATTAGTATACAGGGTCCGGCAATAGTGCGTCGGGCATCTGTAGTTCCTAGAATAAAAACTTTGGGAATTTTGTTTCAGTGCAAACATAAAGTACGTACTAGGATGTATTTCAGGAAAATATTTTAACTTTTATAGGGTAGCTCAAAAAAGCGTGAGTGGATCGGGAGAGTTTTTTTTTAAATGGAACACCGTGTATATTATTGCATTTTTGACTCTTTCAGATCACTTTACATAATTTTAAAATATGAGTAAATATATTTCGATAGTTTCAGTGATATTAATAAGTAATGAAAAAATATATGCTTTCAGCCTTTCTTAAAATAATTATTAAACATACAAGAACTGTCCTGAAATCAAAACTATGTTAGGTATTTATGTAGTATTTACTTTAGATGGTCTGTACTTATTTTGCTATAAATATCGTAATCTTAAATCATACGGAATATTCAAAATTCTACGCCAAATTTTCTTCGTTTTTTATTAAATGAAATACCCTGTATATTATTTTTTATTAGATGGAGAATTAAAAAATCAATATGTATTGTATTTACAGTATTTCAAATTTGGATGACTTGTGGAAAATGCCATATGAAATATAAAACCGCGAATATCTGCGAAACCATTTTGAAATACTCTAAATACAAAAAATTTTCATTGTTTGATTCCCCATCTATTTGGTGGTCAATTTGAAAAAAACAAAAATTATTTTATATTAGACTTTAATTGCCGCAAATATCTAAAATTCATGGTAATGAAATTCTTGAAATAAAAATACTTATTACTTAAATATTACAATTGGGGGTTAGATATTACATTTGGTGTTATAGGAGCAAAATAAAACACTGATTCACCACAATACACCAAAACACTTTACTTTTAAACATAGAACGCGCATTAAAAACTAAATAAGTTTTAATCATCTGCTGATGATGCTACCATGGTTAGCAAGACGCGCGTCCTAAGGTAAAGTGTTGTGGTATATTGAGGAGAATTAGTGTTTTTATTTTTCTGTTGTAACACCAAAGGTTTCAACCCCAAACTATAATGTAATTTTAAATTAATCTGAGAAGTGGATTTTTTTAGGAACAATCAAAACAAATACCATCGTTAATTCAGCTGGGGCATGGGGTAGAAAAATTTCAAACATGGTCGGTATAGAAATACCAATTCAGCCAATGAAGCACTCTTATGTTATCACACATACAATAGAGGGTGCCAGAAATTGCGCCTCTATAAGATGTCATGACAGTTCACTATATTTCAGACCCCAAGGCGACTCAATTCTGTTTGGAGGATACGAAGTTAACCCAGTAATTCTCAAGGAGGTAATATATTTTAACTAGTTAATGAAAAGAGAAATTTAGATCGGAGATGTTAGCAACTCATTGAAAGCAGGAATTATAAAATACGATCCTGCTTGGGCTGCTACAATCCTGTTTTATCCTGCTTCAGATCCCAACCCAGCCACACCTACCAATTTTGATCTATAGTTACTTTTATTTTGGTTGCTGACTTCCCAGTTGGCAACACATGAGAAGCAGGATCGCCAAAACTGGTTCCTGCTTGCGCTGATTTCATCCCAGCAACACTTGCCAATACAGCAAGTTTAGGTCTGATTGGTGACGTCACACATAGCAACACAACAAAAGCAAGATGGCTGAAACAAGTTCCTGCTTTTGCTACTATAATTCTGGCTCATTCTACTTCAAGTGGATTCAAACCCTATACCAGCCACTCTTGCCGTTTTTGAAATACAGCAAATTTCGTTTTGATTACTGGAAATCGAGAATTGGAGAATTGGATTTTTCCAATCATGTAACCTGTAAAAGGTCAAATATAAAATGCTTCTAATAATTCCTTTCACAACGAGACTGCCAGTAAATTATGTAAGAATACCCATGGACTCATTGGGGATGTGAACTGGAACATTAAACAAATATCTATAAAAAATTAAATTTTTATTAAACAAAAAACTAAACTGAATATAAAAGTAAGTGCGCGTTAACTACGCAAGAAGCCGATGTATTGCGAAATTCTTTGTCGCAGTCATTAAACAATTTCCATCAATCTTCCTGCAATACGCATTTTAGTGTCCAATGGCAGTAGGATCGGTAGGGATTGGCTTCTCGAAGTGACCCACAGGTACCATCACGTGACAATTTTACTGTTTAGATACAAAAACCGCGGGAAATACATACATACATACATTGCAAATTAAATAAAAGCTTTTAAAAACATTTTTAAAAACAAGCTTTTATTTAAATGCTCTAAAAAGAAGAAAATAATTTTCTGTAACTCTTTTACTATCAACTTATAATCTCATTACACAATTTATATGATATAAAAGCTTGTTGCTGACTTATCCGCTAGGGCACGGAACGAAATGTAAAAAACAAAAGTGTAAGGATAGATTGACCGTCAAAAATACTTACGTTTCTTTAAAAAAACACAAATCACACGTGTGAGAACTATGAATTCAAATTCAGAGTAGAAAACTGGAAAATTTGAGATTATGGTTCGCGTGTACGTTAAGGCGCTTTCGGATGTCACACTAAAAACTCTTCATACGTCCTTATTTACGTTAAAACTTATCAAGTTAAAAAAAGATATTCCTAATCTTAATGTGCGACTGATTACCAGGAATCGATTCGTTCTATTTTAAAAACAACATGAGTGGCTGATATGGGGTTTGAAGCAGGATAAGGCAGGATTATAGCAGCCAAAGCAGGAACTTGTTACAGCCATCCCGCTTTTATTGTGTTGCTATGTGTGACGTCACAATCAGACTAAAACTTACTGTATCTTAAAAACAGCAAGTGTTGCTGGGACGAAATTCGCAGCAGGATGCAACAGTGGTATAGCAATAACGCAAGCAGGAACCAGTTTTGGCGATCCTGCTTTCCATGGGTTGCCAACTGGGAAAGAGCAACCAAAATTCAAATAACTATAGCTCAAAATAGGTAGGTGTTGCTGGGTTGGGATTTGAAGCAGGATAAAGCAGGATTGTAGCAGCCCAAGCAGGATCGTATTTTATAATTCCTACTTTCAATGAATTGCTAACTTTCCTCACCTGAGAAATTTGCCTCTTGGCGTAGTCATAAATATTTTCGGGTTTATTAAAAAAATAAAAAACCAAAAGTAATTTTCACAAAAACTAAAGGTATTTTTCGAGGAGTGTCTCGCTTGTGTAAAAAATGTACATGTACGGCGAAAATATCGTTTTACTGTCAAGCGACTGCCAATGACTGCCTATGCCTGCCGTATAATTATAATCGACTGATGCCAACAACTGCCAAGAAAATATACATGTACTTGATATATTTATTTAAAGTAAAATTTTGACAATTATTTTGACAATTCACACAATCGACCAACTGTGCACACACAACCAGTGTGCGGCGAGACGCGGACGCTAGACGTCGCTAGGAAATCACACTTTCAAACTGGAAGTCAGCGGTTCTGATGTCATATATCATATTTCAACTTTGAATAAAAAGATAAAGAAAGAAGTCTAATGATCTCCATGTATTCATGCATGAGGGTCGGAATCGATATCATAGGCCCCCATCCTTGACTGCTGTGTTTGACATTTTTTTGACACTTTTGGATTTGATTTGAAAATATCCTAATTTGTTGGGATTTCTGGACATTTTATTTTATGATTTTTATTATACAGGTTGTTAATTTGTTCATTACTCGCGACAAGAGCTTTATGGTTGAAATATGGCAACCTTGGCCCGCTCGTCGATAGACGACGCGACATGCGTTCTCAATAGGCAGTGTTGCCATTCTGTTCCCCTATAAGTAACTGTCGAGTTAACAACCTGTATATGCTACAATTGGTTTTGTTCAGAGATTGTAAATCTAGAAGGATATTGTGTCAGAACTTAAATTAACAGTGATAATATTGCGAATTACCGAAAAATAGTGCTAATACGGTATGATCGAATAAAAACGGCGTCAGCGATGGCCATAAAATGACGATCGATGACATTTCCCATATAAAATGACAGCGATATTCATTTCATAGCCATCGCTGACGCCGTTTTTACTCGATCATACGGTAGTTAGTGTGCACTCAGCGTGCAGTAGATCTCGATCAAAAATCGAGAGAAATAATGGAATAACTTTTCAATGGTAAGTGACTATACAATGCAACACTGCGTCAGGTATATGTAGCTCCTATAAAAAAATATGAATTTTGTTTAAGTGCAAACCTGAAGTATGTACTAGGATGTATTTTAGGAAAATATTTTAACTTCTACAGAATGGCTCAAAAAAGTATGGGTAGATCGGCGATGATTTTTTTAATAGATATATTAAATATATAATATAATATTTGGCCGTGTATATTATTTTATTTTTGACTTCTTTCCTGACAACTTTACATAATCCTAAGATATTATTAAATATGTTTTGATAGTTTCAGAGATATAAATAAATAAATAAAAAATATTTAATATATTTTTCAGGTTTTTTTAAAAATTATTTATAGTACAAAAATGAAAAGTCCTGAAACCTAAACTATACTAGGTATTTACTATAGTTGGTCTGTACTTACTTTGCCATAAATATCGTAATCTTAAATCATACAGGGTATTGCATTCAAACTTGTACGCCAAACTTCCTAAACTATAAAATAATTTTTTCTTCGTATTTTTAAATGGAACACCCTGTATATTATTTCTGTGTAAGATGGAGAATTAAAAAATGAACATTTTTTATATTTAAGGTATTTTAAAATTTTTATCAGTTTCGCAGATATTTGCGGTATAATTACATATAGCTCTTTCAATCGCTCTCAATAATATACCGGAAATATTTGCGAAACCGTTAATAATTTTGAAATTCTTAAATTATACTATACCGGGTGCGTCTCAAAAGTAACTCACCCCTAACTGTTTTATTTTGTCACATAAAAAAACAGATTTGGTATGTTAGTATATCACATAAATTAGGATTGATTGATGTATTCAATTGTTTTTGGTGACTTCCTGTTTCACCGGAAATTACTACAACTTGCGATTTTAAAATGGCACGCTCGATATTTTTTTATTTATTCGATAGAAAATGTCACTCTGAATAGAATGACATATCACATGTCAACTTTTGACATATTTGCTTTAAAACAGATCATATTTTAAATTTCAATCTAGAGTGCCATGGCTGTGTAAAAAACACTAATTTTTAATCAAGGAGCCTTGGAAAAATAGATTTGTTCGCCTAGTGTTTTTTGTGTCTTGTCCTGGCCAGTTAAAAGATGCCCAAATCGTATTTTTAATCATATCTCAATTTTTTCAAATGGAACGAGGGTGGCTCATTAGCATTTTTGAAAAATGCATTTTTTTACGAATAATTTGGTACCACGCACTTGGTATTTCGAGTCAAATTTTCCTTATGATCCGCATGTTACAACACTTCAAATAAACCATATGAAAAAATGTCAAAAGTTGACATATGATATGTTATTCTATCAGAGTGTCATTTTCTATCGTATTAAGTAAAAAAATATCGAGGGTGTCAAATACGGTCGGGTGGTCAACATACCAAATCCCGTTTTTTTATCTGGAAAAATACTATAGTTATAGGGGTGAGCCACTTTTGAGACGCACCCAGTATACAAAAAATATAATTTTTTAAATTCTCCATCTAACAAGAAAAATAGCATACAGGTTGTTTCTTTGACTATGGTTGTTCCATTTAAATCAACGAAAAATAAATTATATTTTAGAAAATTTGGCGCAGAATTCTGAACACCCTATAAGATTTAAGATTACGATATAGCAAAGTAAGTACAGACCAACTGTAATAAATATAATATCTAGTATGTTTTTCATTTCGAGACATTTCTTATATTTTTAATTTTTTTAATAACTTTTGTTTGTTAATATATTTAAAAATATGAAAACATATTTAATAATATCATAGAATTATGTAAAGTGATCGGAAAGAAGGCTAAAAGTACAATAATATACAGGATGTTCTGAAGATGCGTTTTCTTTCAGAAGCTTTTCTGTGACTGAAAAGCTCGATAACTTTTCTGTTACTGAAAAGTCCGATACGTGATATTATCTCTCTTCCGCACTCCTTTGTTGCCTCTTTACTTTTTGGTTGTCGCTGTTAACTTAGTTTATAATTCTTCTCCATTACGTTCTATTGTGCGCTGCTTCTTCCCACTCGTTCTGCATGTTTATCCCCTTTAAGTTTTCATGAAAAATATCCTTGTATCTTTTGAGTTATCCACCTTACCGTCTACAAGCTCACCGTAAAGCAGAGATTTTGGTAGGCGGTTTTCTTTCATTCGGCATACGTGACCAGCCCATCTTAAGCGAGATTTTGTAATCATGACTTCAATGTTCATGATTGTATGAGTCATGATTCTAGAAAACCCTTTCTTTAATTTCCAGAATACTGTTGAGGCGCTGCTAATCCTGTGCTGAATTTCAGAGTCGATATTGGCCTTTTCCGAAATCAAACTGCCGAGGTAATTGAATTCCGCTACATATTCCAATATTTTTTCTCCGCTTTTTATAGCATTGTTGTGATCTTCAGGGGGAGTGCATCTTGATTTTAGTTTTAAAAAAGCATGCCTGTCCACTCACTTTTTTTGGCCAACCTGTAGATGTTAAAATATTTTGCTAAAACACATCCTGATACATTATACTTTAGGTTTACACTTAAACAAAATTTCTAAGTTTTTTATTATAAGAGCTATAGATATCCGACGCACTGCCGCAGTATCCTGTTTATACAGCCATATTAATCACTGGTGATGGGAATACCGGTTCCACATGAGTCGCGTTACAATTTACAATAGCTACCGTTCCAGAAAAATACCGCGATTTTGTAATCGAGGTTCCGACTTCCTTAGTGTCGCGGTCCTCGTTTATGTAGTATTTCTGGCATTGATACCTACTTTTATTTATATTCATTTTATTTTATTTGCTTTTACGTTTCATCTTTCAAATAACGCTATTTTATACCATGCTTAGTACATACCAAAAATCGCTATTTCAAAAGTAACGTAGCGATGGGAGCACCAACGCCAACAGTAACCGACCCAATCGCTACAGGAGAAAACGAAACACTAAAAGCGCTCCAGCGACCGCTGGAAGTCGAGCGTCGATAGCCAGTTACAGCAGTCAGCAATTACTTCTGTTCGCGACAGGGAACTAAAACTCTAGGAGCGCGACGGCTGGAGCGAACACGTCGCCATCGAGATCGCCAGACGCTACGTACAGTTCCAGTAACTATTGTAGGCGACCGACGACTGGAGCGACGGCTGGAGCTAAACACGTCGCTATGCCACAAGCTATGCGGTTACTACGGTTCAAGCTAACTTCAAGAGCGATTATAAATAATTTATTTGCAAATTATAAATAACTTATAATTTTGTCATCATTATGATCGTCGTTCTTCAGTAACAGGTTCCCCATTCTTTGTGGAGCGCGACACGGCGTTATAAAAAAATACCGCTCCATAATCGCGTTACTCAAATACCGACACATCACTATTAATCACCCATGGCGCTTCACCACGTTCACCAAGTTCCACCCGCTTCTTCTTAATTTTTTTATTCAAAGTACTTCAAAAACAAAATTTGATACGTTAGATTGCTAGATGATATAATGATAGAACTTTTTTTGAGAATTGAAACACAATTTTAGGTGCCAGATGATTTTGATTTCAAACTTTTCGAACTTGATAAGAGCATTTTCGAATCGCACTGGAAGAAAGCAACGGAATTATGTCCCATTTTCACAAAAGTCGGTATCAAATCAGACGTATGTGGCCCAGAATCGTTTACACCAGACCACAAACCATTAGTTGGCGAAGATCCTATAGTTGTAGGTAAGATTTATTTAAATAAAAACAGGGCATGAATGTTTTCCAGAAATACTTTTTATTTGAAGGTTATTACGTTTTTTCCTATTATTAACACACATTTTCGAAGAATACCGTTATAACTCTGATTAAATATGAAATCGACTTAAAATTTATAAAAATAAGTCTGCTTAATGAGGATCTTAAGTCAGATTCTGTAAAAGAGAACCCAGAAACTAAGTCATATACTCTGTATGTTTAGAACGCTGACCGGAAGAAGACGGTAATACCTACGATAATCAGTCACATACCGGGTGCGTCTCAAAAGTGGCTCACCCTTATAACTTTTTTATTTTTTCAGTTAAAAAACAGTTCAGTTAAAGAGATTTTGTATTAATGCCTTTTTTATTTATACATTTTAGAAACTGTCCTGATGATGGGAATAAAATTTTCGAAAGCTTGACAAATTTGAAAAAGTAGTTTTATTAGGTGATTAGGTAGTTTTATTATTGGTGATTATTGACTACATCCTCACTTAAATTTTGAGTTTTTTTTTGTTTTACCTTTATATACACAAATATAGAGATCTGGAACATACATACAGCTCCAGAATATTTGTTGCGGAGAAGAATCTATATAAGAATCTTGGGATTGGACCAATCAACAAATGATTAAATTATAAAAAAGTTATTCAAAACTTCTTTTAATCATTTATTATAGAATCCTAAGTTACTGATTTTAATTATTAAAATTTAGTTTTAATCTTCTGCTGACGATGGTTAGCGAAAAACGTGTCATGAATTTGAAATGTTTTGATGAATTGTGGTAAGCTGCTTGTTTTCACTCTTATAAGCGATACAATACCTGTGACAATACTCTTTAAGTTGCGAAATATCACTGTGATAAATTTAGATTAAAATTACTCCTTAGTGTCATTCGCAAGTAAGCATTATTTATTAAATTTCAGGAATGTATCACAACGTTGGATATAACTCATTAGGCATTATGTTAAGTGGTGGAGTAGGAGAACAGCTTTCTTACTGGATAGCAAATGGAAGACCAGATTGGGACATGCACTCTTTCGATATTAGAAGATTCTCACAAAAGCAGAAACCTGATATAGCTTGGGTGAAAGAAACCAGTCACGAAGCTTATGCAAAAACATACAACATTGTTTACCCGTATGATCAGAAATTATCTGGAAGAAATTTACGTATCGATCCATTCCATGAGGTAAGTTTTTGACATAGTCTGAGGTTTGCTAGTATCGGGTGCATATATACTTATTATGTGTATTGGTCTTGATTTTTGAAGTTCGATTGTCACTTGTAATAGTCTGTCGTTAAAGTATTTCGTATTCCTGACATGGTTTTCATATCTTTCATGTAGCAGTAAGCCAGCTCCTAAAGTAGCTCTTTCATTTTTCTCTTTTCCGCTGCACATCAATATCAAAATAAAACACTAAATCAATAATAATCCTAATTTATGTTTTTAAGTCACGTAATTTACTTTTAACACTGAAGCGATAATTGAAAAAAAAATAAGAAAAATCAAGTCAACGTAAAATAATTATTTACTCGAATTAAATGTACAATTAGTGAAATTATAATTGGAATAAGTTATTCCATGGCCAATTTCATTTATAGCTGTAGTACAAGTAGAAGTTATCTCTGACGTGAATCTGGTACCAAGATTAGAAGCAATGGTAGTATCCGCTGTTACCCTTCACTACGGTACTGGACTTCCATCCACCGTATCGCTTAATTGTATTAAGATTAGCCCCAGAATCTGTCAGCAAACTAGCCGAGGATCTTCGGAAGCAATGTCCAGTCAGGGTTCGGAAAACTACATGTTACTTTTAAAAACTACATAAACTACATTACATGTAATTAATGTAGTTTATGTAAACTACATTACATGTAATTAATGTAGTTTATGTAGAGGGTGTAGTTTATGTAACCTATGTATGTAACTTTAAAATATCAAAGATTTGAGGTGAGGTTATAATAAGTTGAAGCTTTAAAAACACATAATGTATTTAAGAATACAGAAGAAATATGGCTTTAAATATAATATTTACATCAAATTATCTCTATTACACCTCATACAAAGGAAAATTATTCATAATATCAATACATAGTTTATTAACGTAGTTTTCATGTAGTTAATGAACGGGAAAAGACGTAGTTTTTTAAGAAAAACTACACGTAGTTAATCAGGTAAATTACGTCTTAATTAACTACTTCCGAACCCTGTGTCCAGTATAAAAATGAAAATCGGGCAAATTTAGAAATTTAGCAATATTGGCAGGCATCTTACCAAATGTGTTGATTGCAACTGGAGTGGCACATTTATTCTTATAATATAATTTATAAATATTCTTGAATGGTTGATGGTCGCGGGACAGAGAGCTATGTACTTTTTGTATTAATTCAAATATCGTATGATCGAGCAAAAACGGCGTCAACGATGGCTATGAAATGAAGATCGCTGTCATTTTATATGTAAATTTATACAGGAAATGGATCGTCATTTTCCACCCAACTGGACGCCGTTTTTTTTTCGATCATACGGTATAATGTACCAGTAACAACAAATGTTCGTTCCATATTAGTTTTTGTATCTGGAATATGCACGAGTAATGAAGTTCCTACATCCTCGATATTATTTAATGTCAAGTTACATAGTTCTTCACGACGGCACGCTCCAAATATGCCGAAAATTACGGCAACTTTTTTCATAAGGTATATTTCATCCGACGCCTCTGCAAGAAATTTGTCGATCTCTCTGGTCAATATTTTCGACTTCTTTGGACGATATCCCTCACCTTTTCGCTTCAAAAAAGCAATAAGCCTGTAATATTTGCTTATGTCCTGATTGTTAATCTTTATCATCGCCTTGACCATGGAATAATTTGACCAAAGCGTTGACGATTTCCATTTTTGGACTTTTCTTCGAAGTATGCCAAAAATACACAAATTTGACATTAGTTGACAACAGCTTCCCTTCTTACAAAATAAAATACCACTTTTAGCACTTATATCATAAATAACTATTATAGCACCTGGTAGCAAGTGGTGCCGTAATGGAAGAAGCTTTAGGTTGGGAGAGACCGGCTTACTTCATCAAAGAAGATCGGACGGCACCTGTGAGGGGCTACGACTGGTACGGAAATTATGATCATGTTGTAAACACTGATCAACGATACGTGAAAGAATTGGAAAAAGATCTTACGTTTGATTTTTCGAGAAATCACGATATTGTAAGTCAAATATGTTTTATAAGCTAAGTAATAATATTGAAATAACCTTCAATATATCAGATTAACTATAGAAATACCACTCTAATTCTTAATGATTTAGTCATATATCTTCGATTCTTAGATAAAAGAGGAAGCTCTTGCTGCCAGGACTAACGTGGCACTGTTCAATTTGTCATGTTATACTAAGATGTACTTAGCAGGACCAGATGCTGAAGAAGCCGCGGACTGGCTATTCACGACACATTTGAGTGATAAAGCAGGAAAAGTACATTATACATTATCTTTAAATTCCAGAGGAGGGATTGAATCTGACGTTACAATCACTACATTGGAAGAAGGGGGTGGAACTCTCGTAGGGCCTATTTTAAAAGTAAGCGTTGTAGACGCACCCGGTATGCGTCTCAAAAGTGGCTCACCGACTCGCCCCTATGACTTTTTTATTTTTTCAGATAAAAATTTGCTATGTTAATATATGACATAAATTATTAGTATTGATTGACGTATTCAATTGTTTTCGGTCACTTCCTGTTTCACCGGAAGGAATTTCACCGGAATAACTACAACTTTTGATTTTTAAATGATATCCTCGGTATTTTTTTACGATATTCCATAAATGACACTCTGAATAGAATGACATATCATATGTCAGCTTTTGACATTTTCGCATATGGTTCAAATATGAAATTGTAACATGCGGTTCATAACGACAATTTGACTCGAAATACCAAGTGTACGGTACCAAATTATTCGTAAAAAATGCTTTTTCCAAATCTGCTAATTAGCCACCTTCGTTCCATTTGAAAAAATTGAGATATGATTAAAAAACGATCTGGGCATCTTTAGACTAGCCAGGACAAGACATGAAAATTATTTATTATTTTTCCAAGACTCCTTGATTAAAAATTAAAGAGTGGAAATACGAAAGGGGGTAAGTGCCAAAATCATTATTTCGAGATAAATGAAAAAAACACAGTAGAACTAAAAATAATACATTTTTAAAACGTCTTTTAAAATACATATAAGATACATGTAAAACAGACGAGTCGCCTTCGCTTGGTACTTGTAACTTTTGTTAGGACATGCAGCATTATTTATTAATTAGGACATAAGCTGATTATTTATTACGTTTCTAATGCAATAACTTAATATTGAAAAATTTGGCACTTACCCCCTTTGGTATTTCCACTCTTTAATTAATATTTTTCAGACAGCCAAGGCACTCTAGATTGAAATTTAAAATACAAATTTGTTTAAGCGAAAATGTCAAAAGTTGACATATGATATGTCATTCTATTTAGAGTGTAATTTTCTACCGAATAAAGTAAAAAATATACGGATGGTGCAATTTAAAAATCAAAAGTTGTAGTAATTTCCGGTGAAACAGGAAGTGACCAAAAACAATTGAATACGTCAATCAATCCTAATTTATGACATATACTAACATACCAAATCTGTTTTTTTTTTATCTGAAAAAATAAAAAAGTTATAAGAGTGAGCGAGCCACTTCTGAAACGGCAATGCTACTATACTAATTAGGCAAAAAATGTTTAGTTGCCACACACTCAAAATGTCAATATAATAATATGTTAACATATTAACAATATCTGTAAAAAAATATAAGTAATTTTACTTACTAACAGAATTATTGATAATTAAGTATGCTCGAGTTATATGAATTTATTTTTCTTCATTACATTCAACAACTGGCTCATTTTTAGCCAACACTAAACTCAAATTTTTCGTCATAAAAACTGTCAAATATGAGTATTTTAAAGAATTGGTATTTACGCACTGAAGTTATCTATCAAAATATTTTCTTTGAGCCTAATGCACCGATTACACACAAAAATACGGTCCTCTCCTAATTTAAGTCTTCGAACTTCTAAGAATATGCTGATTATTTCAGGGTAAAGGATACTATATTGTTGCTGGAGGTCAATCAGGCTATCACACAAAATGTCACTTAAGGAAACAGTTATATAAGAAGAACTTTAAATCTCGATTGTCGGAAATTACGGATAGATTAGGCATATTATCTATACAAGGTCCGCAAAGGTAAGTCCATATTGTTTTTCAAAAATCATAGAGGAAAGAGTGGTAAATGGAACCTGCTTATATTATGGAACCCCTCTTTTATTATATAACTACAGATGACATCTAACTAACTGGAACTATGTTAGTAGTCACTGCTAGTTCAGCGATAACCGGTCTATGTTTGATCTATATGCTGATTGCAAGTTTCTTTAAGTTTTTTGCCAAGAATATTATACAATAATTCTGAGAAGCTTATCTAATGGTAAGTAAACGGCCCGCTACATTATCAAACAAATTGCAGCAGAAATGCGCAACGTTGCGTTGCACAACTGATTCAGCGGTCCACTTCATTATCAAACAAGTTGCACCAACAAAGCGCTGCATCACCATGCGCCTTAGTATTTAGTATTAAAAGTTGTGCATTGTTTGAGAAACAATCATGTCTTCAATTGCCATTGAATTATTATTGTATATACCTAGATGATGTCAATGATACCAAAAACGAAAAAGAAAACAAAGAATTTGGATGAACTAAAAAGAATTTAAAATATTGCACAACGAAGCGCAACACCCATACACTACACAACGTGCTGAACATCAAATAAAACTGAAATCATATTGCACTCCCCGGAAGATCAGAACAATGCTGTAAAAAATCGGACAAAGAACATTGGAATATGTAGCTTCCGTTACCTCGGCTTAGTTTGATTTCCGGAAAAGGCCAATATCGACTCGAAGGAAACAGTTGAAGAACTTTAAATCTCGATTGTCGAAATTACGGATAGATTAGGCATATTATCTATACAAGGTCCGCAAAGGTAAGTCCATATTGTTTTTCAAAATCATAGAGGAAAAGAGCGGTAATATGGAACCTGCTTATATTATGGAACCCCTCTTTTTATTATATAACTACAGATGACATCTAACTAGCTGGAACTATGTTAGTAGTCACTGCTAGTTCAGCGATAACCGGTCTATGTTTGATCTATGTGCTGATTGTAAAGTTTCTTTAAGTTTTTACCAAGAATATTATACAATAATTCTGACTTATCTAATGGTAAGTAAAGCGGCCCAACATTATCAAACAAATTGCGCAACAAAGTGATGCGCAACGCTGCGTTGCACAACTGATTCAGCGGTCCATACACTATCAAACGTTCCGTTGCTCAACTGCATCACCCATGCACTTAGTAAAATTTTGATCAAACTTTTTATTAAAAGTTGTGCATTGTTTGAGAAACAATCATGTCTTCAATTGCCATTGAATTATTATCGTATATACCCTAGATGATGTCAATGATACCAAAAAACGAAAAAGAAAACAAAGAATTTGGATGAACTAAAAGAACTAAAATATTGCACAACGAAGCGCAACACTTACATACACTACACAACGTGCTGAACATCGATAAAACTGAAATCATGTGCACTCCCCCGGAAGATCAGAACAATGCTGTAAAAATCGGACAAGAACTATAGGAATATGTAGCTGAATTCAATTAACTCGGCAGTTTGATTTCGGAAAAGGCCAATATCGACTCGAAGGAAACAGTTATATAAGAAGAACTTTAAATCTCGATTGTCGGAAATTACGGATAGATTAGGCATATTATCTATACAAGGTCCGCAAAGGTAAGTCCATATTGTTTTTCAAAAATCATAGAGGAAAGAGCGGTAATATGGAACCTGCTTATATTATGGAACCCCTCTTTTATTATATAACTACAGATGACATCTAACTAACTGGAACTATGTTAGTAGTCACTGCTAGTTCAGCGATAACCGGTCTATGTTTGATCTATGTGCTGATTGTAAGTTTCTTTAAGTTTTTTGCCAAGAATATTATACAATAATTCTGACTTATCTAATGGTAAGTAAAGCGGCCCATACATTATCAAACAAATTGCGCAACAAAGCGATGCGCAACGTTGCGTTGCACAACTGATTCAGCGGTCCATACATTATCAAACAAGTTGCGCAACAAAGCGCTGCATCACCATGCACTTAGTATTTAGTATTAAAAGTTGTGCATTGTTTGAGAAACAATCATGTCTTCAATTGCCATTGAATTATTATCGTATATACCCTAGATGATGTTAATACCAAAAAACAAAAAAGAAAACAAAGAATTTGGATGAACTAAAAGAACTAAAATATTGCACAACGAAGCGCAACACTTACATACACTACACAACGTGCTGAACATCGATAAAACTGAAATCATGTGCACTCCCCCGGAAAATCAGAACAATGCTGTAAAAATCGGACAAGAACTATTGGAATATGTAGCGGAATTCAATTACCTCAGCAGTTTGATTTCGGAAAAGGCCAATATCGACACTGAAATTCAGCACAGGATTAGCAGCGCCTCAAGAGCATTCTGGAAATTGAATGACAGGGTTTTCTACAATCATGACTTGAACACAAAAACGAAACTTGCAGTGTACCGAGCAATAATAATTCCCACAATGTTAAATGGAAGCGAAACCTGGGTGCCGACCGCCGACACATGAACGCATCAAACAACAGAGACATTTTAGACAACTCTTCAAGGACAATAGCATTAGTCATAGACTGTTTGTTGCATATTTTCCGATGGGAACTTCTTATTGGAGATCTTTCTTTCGGGGATAATTCAGTCCGGGGCATAATGCAATACCAGAAGTAAAGAGGGTCCATATTAACAACAGCACATGCTTGAAAATTGTGACGTTATATTTTTATTGAATGTAATTATTCTTTAGCGTTTATATAATAAGTTTTATTAGTTGTTTCTTGGGTGTTGTGACAATGGTTAATTAAAACAATTAGCATTCTATCAATTTAATGTAATGCTTCTTCAGGAATATGTCTTGGAAGTAGTAGTGCTTATTTTCATTTCTTTACTTAGAGTAGCATTCAAAAGGCATAGAGTCCTTGAAATATTGGTTTCTGGTTTCTAGACTAGTGTATATCTATTTTTTTGAATGACTATCGAAATTACTGGTATTTTCTGACGATTTACCGGTAATATTTTACCGCGTTTTTAGGATATTTAACCGGTAAATTGATAAACCGATAGCAATCCCTTGTATCTTAATAATAAACGTATTAAAGACACTAATGATATTCTGAAGAACACTGGGTTGACCGGAAATATACTTGTGGCCAACTATAATCTTGTGCTATCAGGCTTTTATAAATACAGTATAAGAATGTATGTCGGCTGTCTATCAGAAACTACTTATCGTATTACTTTCGGAAAAAACATATTAAGGAAATCGACCAAGAGGAATCGCTGGAAATAATTTTCTAGTTCGAAAAATATCCCCTAGAGTGCACATCTGTGATGGCCAATTAGAAAACGGGATTTTTCACAAAAATTGCACCTGAAGACGTACTTTAAATTTTGCTATTACAATAAATGGAAAATTCGTAATTTATTTGGTATACGGCATTTTGCTGCCCATCTCTTGAAATCAGGTGGTTGGAGAAAAGAAGAATTGGACATAACTCTGGTGTAGGTTACCGGAATTATACAAACTGGTGCTCGTTTAAAAGAGCTTTGTATAAACTTTGTTTTAATATATTTTGTTGTGGTAATTGTACCGCCATTAAGATATGAGCGTAGTAGGAGCGCTATGGATGACATGATAACATATTTCCACCAAATTTCCAAAAAGTCAGCGTAAACCGCAACTTTCCATCTTTTCTCCGGTGGTTTATTTAGCCACAGCGTTTAATAAAATCGCCGCAAAAGTATAAGTAATAATTTTTATCTGAAAAAAGTCAGATACTCTCGACCAAGTAACTTGGCCAAAACTTTTATTAAAAAAGGAGATTTCTACATGATTAATACCTCCCATTTAGAGCGTTAAATAAAAAATCATACGTTTGACAATAATTTTTTAATATTATAAAATTGTCCTTTTACCCTCCTTCAAAGGTTTGCTTTGATATTTAAATTGTTTTTTTTTGTATAGAAATACATGTATCATACATTTTTTGTACATTAATTCATACATTTTTTTGGTATTACAGCCTTGAATTGTTGCAATCTATTACGGAATCGCCTATCACACATGACCGGTTTCCACCAGGGATGTCACACATCATAAAAATCAATAAACACAATTGTCGTGCAATGAGAATAAGCTACATAGGAGAAATGGGATTCGAGCTTCATATTCCGTATGCCAGCTGTGTCAACGTCTACAATAAAATCATCGAGGCCGGCAAGGGATTCGACTTGACTCTTGCAGGATTCAGGGCTTTGGATGCCCTAAGCTTAGAAAAAGGTATGGGGATATTATATAAACACATTGTCAAGTTCTTGCAGTACACGACAAAATGGCGCCAAACAGGTCTGACTACCAAATTATTAGGTTTTTAATAGTGATGGGATAACTCGAGCGAAAATTCGCTCGAGTACTCGATTATTGAAATAACCGACATCGCTCGATTATGAACGAGCGATGCAAGTGACGAGTACCAAGCGACGAACGCAAGCGATCCTAGAATGAAATAAATTGAAATCTGATTTTAATGTGATCTACTCGATAAAAAGCCGAGCGAATTTTCTACATACATTGCAGGTAGCAAATTTATACGATGCCGTATATACCGGGTGCGTCTGAAAAGTGGCTCACCCCTATTACTCTTTATTTTTTTAGATAAAAAAATGAGATTTGGTATGTTAGTATATGACATAAATTAGGTTTGATTAACGTATTCAATTGTTTTCTGTCACTTACTGTTTCACCGGAAGTGACTACAATTTTTGATCTTTAAATGGTACCCTCGGTATTTTTTTACTTTATTCGATAGAAAATGACATTCTAAATAGAATGGCGTATCATGTGTCAACTTTTGACATATTCGCTTAAAAACAAATTGTATTTTAAATTTCAATCTAGAGTGCCATGGCTGTGTTAAAAACACTAATTTTTAATCAAGGAGCCTTGGAAAATGATTTGATCGTCTAATGTTTTTAGTGTCTTGCCCTGGTTGGTTAAAAGATGCCCAAATCGTATTTTTGATCTTGAATCTGAAGCTTTGTGAACAGTACACTATGGTAATGCAGTTCGAGGCAAGTAGTCCAATTCAAAAACGGGTTCAGAACGTGCTGTCGATATTTGGTTTGGTGATATAAGCAGCTACAGGAAGACTTATTGTCTTTAAAAACTGGTCTCTTCTTCGAAAGATGAGTTCGACGCCAATCCAGATGACAAACAAAATCATACTGGAATTTTGTTTCCATTATCAGCCTACACCGATGTCAAACAACAACTCCCTAAGGACGCAAGAATTGAGAAACAGCTTACCAAAACAAAGAGCTTTTCAAAGTGCAGGGAACGGGAGGCATATGTGTATTCGTTAGGTTTATGATGTGAAGGTGGATACTACAATCAAAACTTCAGTTTTCAGCCTCCATGAGCAGCCGACGAGATTTGTGGGTTGGTGCTTTATGAACACAGTCAGTGCAATGTATTGAAACTTAAAAACTATATAGGTATTGTGCAGTTCACGTTAGTGCCAGTATTAAAAGACATTTTTTTTATTGTCTATATGTAAACGGCTAATCGCCATCGTTAAACTTATAGAGAAGCTTTTTTTTTATTTTTTTTTAGTTAGTAATTTCTTTAAAAACATTTTTTTTATTTTTTTAATAATGTATACTTAAAACATTTTTTTTATTATGAAACGTTAATTATTAAGCACAATTTATTGCAATGTATAATAATTATTGTTAAAAAGTATAATTTCATAAATCTTGAATTATCGCTGGGGTCCAGCTTTAGAGTGCCATACGGCAGAGCGAAGTAATACTTCAATATAGTTCCGTTACGAAAGCAGCGTGTAGCTCTGTGGTTGAGGCTGCCGCTTTGTGAGCAACGGGACGGTGGATCGAACCTCGGTAGTCATATAATAACTTTTTTTATTTTTTTACAGCTGTTTTTATTTTTAAAAACTGTTTTTATTTTTTTTTATTTATTTAGAGTTGTTGGTAAAAGCAATCAAAATACGCCGTTGGTTAGTCTTTGGTGTGAGTTTTTTTTATATTTATAGATTGCACGCGAAATACCCGATCAATTTTGTATAACTCATGCACATGCACGGAAGCAAAGGAGCAAAAGTGGAGTGCGGCTCCCTAGCTTCTGGTCTCGCCGCTTACTACTTGCCGTTCATTACCGAAAAAATATGTCCCCTGCGCACGCAGCTTACTGCTTGGCGCTTGTGTGTGGCGTTAACGAGTACTTACAACATGGGACGGACAAAAATCGTAAAAGTATTTTTAAATACGAGCGATATTTCGCTCGAGTGATCACTCGGTTATTGCAATCGCTTGATACTCGAGTACTCGATTATTGAAATTAATCGGTTTTTCCCATCACTAGTTTTTAACAATTTACGAATATTTGTAGAACGGTAGAAGTGTACACCTTAATGTACATTATAGAAATCAAAATACGAGGGATGCTGCCTCTGAAAGCGTTTTGGAATAAATAATTTTTCCTCAGATTTATACATGGTTTTACCCATACTCTTGCTTTTTGATTTTTCTTTTTTTCTAACAAAGTATAGGTACGCAATTCATCACTTAGGTAACGTATGACATAAAATATTTACACCACATTTAACAATCTCTGTGGTATGCATAGTTCTTGCACAATAATTTGACTAGTATAAACATACAATTTTAAAATGTTCAATTACAAGTATTTGCAATCAAGTATTTGCTAAAACAACTGAGCTTGTATACTAGAGCAATGCATTCACCCAAAAAGATGGTTTGGTTTGGTTTGGTTGTCAACTGAGAACGCCAGCATTCATTGATGCGTTTTATAAGTGGTTGCCATGTTGCCATATCGTAGATATTTCCATACTAGGATTGCTAATTATGTTAATGGTATTTGCTATAAAAATGTTTTAAAAAAAATACGCATTTTCCATAGCCCTGTGAGTATAGTTCAAACAACATAACATGAAGTTGGAGAAACCTCACCGGAAAAAGAATTAAGAGCTTCTAAACAACTAACTACGAAATTCAAAAATTTAAATAACAGACAAAAAAAATGTTTTCACCCAACTTCGTACGACGGCCATAACAGAAAAAATTTTAAAATATTCGGAATAAAATTCCAATCAAAACAATTTAACCCAAAGAAAATCTGCTCTATCTGCTCTGCTCTCATCGTACCGTTGTAGATCGGATACATTACACTGTGCCTTAACATAGTCTGATATTTTGAAAAGTAATTATTTTTAAAATTATAATGATTGATGATCTTTTAAGTTTGTACAAAGGTTGTTAATTTTAAATGTGCATTTTCTTCAAATTAATTTTGGAGGAAATTCATATCAAAGCCTTCAGTATTATCATAGTACCGCTATACCAGTTTAATTTTCAGGATATCATTTATTGCATCAAGATATCCGAATAGACGATAATCCAGTCGAGTCTGGATTACTACAGTTTTGCAGGAGAGATGGACAGTATCAAGGAAAATCTATTGTAGAAAAGGTAAATAATACAAATTATGACCAAGTACTTTTTCAATTATCAATGAACTGAAGAATCTTATTTGTTTAACTAATAACTCATTAACATACAAACCCCGTCTCATTCCAGTTGTCCAAATTTATTGTTATTATAGTAATACCGTATGATTGAAAAAAGGGCGTGCAGTTGGCTTGGAAATGAACAGCGATGACATTTCCCATATAATTTTACATATAAAACGACATAGATCTTTATTATATAGCAATCGGTGACGCCGTTTTTATTTGATCATACGGTATTTGATTTACATATAACGAGTATAAATATGTACAGGGCCTAATATTCCGCGGACATAGAACTACTACCGTACTAAGTAATTTTGGAATCAAAATAAGCTCATTGGACACAATTTACATCTATACAAAAGTGCCTCATTTGTCCGCTAGAGGACATAAAACTTTTAAAAAATAAACACATTTTTTTCAGATATTATTCCGATATGAATGCGATTTTGTCTGTCTGATGACTCTATGCGGGTACATCAATCCACGGGGCGGGTTGGGTTCTAATCCAATCCTGTTCCAATCGACCCATAATAATTAGGAAAAATCCTGATGATTTCGTACATTTAGAGGCATCGGTTCGAGACATCGAGGGCGTCATACTGTAGCCAGTCCCCAATTATGTCGAAATCGACCCACATTTTTCTTCAATATCAAATCGTTAGTCCCACCCTGATAAAGACGTAAACGAAACGTTGTATCCAACATAGCCTACTCCTCAACTTCTGACGTTTCTTACGTCAAAACTAACTGTCACAGTGAGACGAGTCGTACACGGTTGTGATGGCCTTTGTCGACATACCAAATTTCATTTAAATCGGACGATTTTTTGACTTGATTTATTGATGATGGGGTTTCGTAATGCACGAAACGTCGTCAAAATATGTAAAGATGGGGCTCTTCAAGCTCCAGCCATATTCCAAGTTTCAGCCCCCTATCTCACATAGAGCCCGAGTTACGACGCTCCGTCGTAATCTCCGATCGTTACCACTTTTCCTCTCGCGTCTCGCATCTCGTGTATCACGGCCTTCAATTTTTTCTCCCATTGCGTGTAAAGAAGTTTCACTTCAAAAATACGTAGTTGTTCTATGTCCACGGCTTATCGGAACTCCCTGTATATACTGTAGGTCTGGTTTTTTTTTAAATAAATTCTCCACAAATATTTTTCTCAAAAAATATGCCATGTGGCGTTTTTTACAAGAGAAAAAAATGTAGTACATACAGGGTGGCGCCTCTCATACGCCGCGGAAGCTCCAAGGAGAACGGTAGTTTATATCGAAATGAAATGTTGGCAGCAATTTTATAAAAATATATAGAAAGTAGTGTCCCCAAAAAAAGTTACACATCAAAGTTGTGTTTTTTCTAATGGAACACCCTATATATTAATTGATTTTCGGATTCTAGGAAAAAAATAAAGGTCAGTTTTATTGAAGAAGCATATACCTAAAATCTAAGGATTTTGACATATTTCACATTTTGTGAAAATAAAGAGTAAATTTTAAATTTAGATAACAGCTACCTAAATTTTAGTTTACCTTGTATAGCCTAATATTTAATTACAGTAAACATTGTATGTTAAACCAAATTAAAATTTGACCCGAAAAGTCATACAGGGTGAGACAAAATTAATATGGAACATTGGACACTTTTAAAAGCAAGTTACTCCTTTATTTTAAATGGAACATCCAGTATATTTTTCCGACGTTCAATGGGGAATTTATATTATCTTCAAAATATTATTAAGGTTGCCTACCCCTCAGACAAGGATTTTCCCAGATATTTTAATTTTTATGATTTTGCGTGAGTAAATCTTTAATATTTGAAAAAATCTAGGTGGCTGTGTGATATTGTCCCTTTTGTTAATTTAACAAGAATTAAAGATTGTAGAGTAAAATACACAAGGGTAGTAAAAAGATACGCGTTTAAAACATATTTTAGTTATTACAGAATTAAAACTAGATATAAACCTATAGTTATGCGACAAAAATTAGCTAGATGAAATCAAATGCTCAAAATGATTCCCTTCCTGTTAACTGCATAAAATGATGTACGAAAATGCAATATTATAACATTATAAACCAGACAGTATAAAATTTTATACAAGGGTTTATTTAGTGACATCATAACGAAATATATCTTCCTCAATTATCCTTCACAGAATAAAAAATAACCTATAAAGAGAGTATTAGTGCTCTTAATAAATAAAAAAAAGATGAAAAATAAAAAACATCTATGCTCATTAGCTCTCTATAAAGAAGTAAAAAATCATTTAAATCAATGCATGAACGATTCGAGGTGTACGCAAACGTAGTCGCGAGAAAAAGCTAGTAATTTATTAAATTATTTTATTTAACTCATTAATTTTCATTGAAAAGGAATTTTTGTAATTCGCCACTATATTAGTTAAAAACTAAGAAACTCATATCAAATTAAAGTTTTGCGATTTTGACTTATACTTTTTACAAAATCTGAACAAATTTTAAAAGAAAAAAAGTTTTTGATAATATTTGTGTAGATTGACTACAAGTTGTATAACATAAATTTCTACGACCGGTCTATCTAGTGGTCTGCAGCATCGCCTTGTGGTGCAAACGTGGGCCTGTTAATCTGTGACGTGACGCACAACAGCCAAGAAAAACAGAAGCGTTGCTAGTAATTTAGTAATTTAAAAAAAAGTCTTTTAGATACAGTAGTAGGTATTAAAAAGTTTTGTGTTTAAATGGGGTTTGCCTTTAACAGTTAAAAAATTATATCGTAAAGTGTAACTTTCCGTAAGAATTCTTTTTTTTGCTTGCTTGTTTTACGGATAGGTGCGATCGCATGATTATTATTGATAATGTTTTATTTAATTTTAACATTACTATTTTTTTAGTGAATGTCTTTTCAAAAGGATCTTTTCATTTAAAAAGGCGTATGTGGAGTTCTACCTCGAAAAGCAGCTACAATAATTTATCTCATGTTGTCGACACTAGTTGGTCGAGTTTTGTAAACACTATCTTTAACATATCCCCATAAAAAAAAACCAGACTAGATAAAATCAGGAGCATTTAAGTATTCTCTTAATTGGTGAATGCACACTGCATTCACCAACTTAGAGAATCATATCAATTCTCTCTGATGTAAGACAAGTTTGCAATTTCAGCAAATTTCTGAGAATTTTTTTTGTTTTTTAACTGACACAAAATGATAACTAGTTGTTAAAGTTGGACTAATTAGACAGCTATGTTGAAGTAACGTCAGACATATACCAGCCACCTAGATTTTATCAAATAATAAAGATCTACTCTGATCAAATCATGTAAATAAACATATCTAGGAAAATCTTTGTTTGAGGGGTAGACAACCTTAATAGTATTTTGAAGAGACATGAATTCTCCATTGAATATCGGAATAATATACTGGGTGTTCCATTTAAAATAAGAGAGTAATATGCTTTTAAATGTGACCAATGTTCAATATTAGTTTTGTCTCACTCTGTATAACTTTTTGGATCAAGTTTTAATTTGACTTAAAGTACTATAGTTAATTTAACTAGATATTAGGCTATACCGGGTAAATTCTAATTTAGGTAGCTTTTATTGTAATTTAAAAATTGTTCTTTATTTCTAGAAAATGTTAAATATGTCAAAAACCTTACATTTTAGTCATATACTTCTCTTATAAAACTCACCTTTATTTTTCGTCCAGAATCCAAAAATCAATTGATATATAGGGTGTTCCATTAGAAAAAACACAACTTTGATATGTAACTTTTTTTGGGGACACCCTGTAGAACTCTCTATATTTTTAAAACGTGCTCTGAATTAACCTACATACATATGCTCATAAAATTTCATTTCAATACAAACTGTCGTTCTCCTTGCAGCCTCCGCGGCGTATGAGAGGCGCCACCCTATACTAGAGGGACAATTTTACGAAAAGAAAATCTGGCGTCGGTTTCTCTTCGGAAAATATTTATACCAAAATTTATATGGGGATAGGGGTAGTTTTCACCTTTCCCGTATTTTTTCTTGATTTTTGTGAGGGTCAAATGTTAAAGCACTTTGCAAAACATAGGCGCCCAAAATCTCATTCAAATCGGAATAACGGTTTTAAAAATATCTGATAAATGTGTTTATTTGATGCCCCCTAGCGGACAAACAAAGCACTTTTGTATAGAGGTGAATTGTGTCCGATGAAATTATTTTGATTCCAAAAATACGTAGTAGTTTTATGTCCACGGAATATTGGCACCACCCTGTATACGATAGAATACAAAACTTATTTTTCGTAATTCGCGTTTTACTTTCTGTATTATAATTTGATATGTGGGGTGTCGATATATGCTCCCTCAGCTCCCAAAATGGAACCTGTGTTGTCATACATCCAAGTCTCCAAGTGCAATCGAAGCCCTGGTCGAGAACAATTGAGCGTCCGGATTGCACAACGACCTTAGCGCGTGGCCGCGGGCAGCCCAGTAGGCAAGCGAGACATCGACGCTTCGCTGCGCGCCGATTTAACAAAATAAATAATTTTAAAACTGCCGTCATTTCGTTAATAATAATCGTATCGTGCTGATTTTTGCATAGAAATACTCATGAGTCTTTAGCGCTTCCGACAAGCTTAAATAACTGGATTATTTTTATATTTTCGATTTGTTTACATTGCCCGAGCATATTATAACTTTGAGATAAAAATCTCTGTTATAAATTTTAAAACTGACAAATATGAATACTATCATTTAATTAGTTATACATTTAGTTACAACATATTCAAAATTTAGGTCTATGGGTTTATGCTAGCAGTAATAACGAGTATAAATAAAAAAAATGGTTACTACAGCGCTCGCCGTTTTTAGCGCACGTTCAGCTTTGTGTTTAGTTTTGGCGCTATGTTTACAGAAAATAAATTCTGAACTTTGATCAAACGACAAGAACATTATCATTGCCAATATCTCCTGGTTATAATGTAGTTCTTTTTTCAAAATATTGCATTGGTTTAGCTTTAAAAAACTTGAATTATGCGGCTTTTTTTGCGAGAGCTACCGGAGCTGCGTTAATCAAGAGATGGCTATGTACGTCTATCATAGCCACAATAGACTGTAATTTTATCTCGTCACGAGATTTTTTGGAAATATTGCACTTCCATTTATCCGGATTTCTACTAACTTTTGACCTTTCTTTTCGGTCGTATTTCCCTCTATTTAATAATAAATAATTTAAAAAACGCTCAAATACTACTGGTAGTAAACAAGCTGTAGCAAAAATTTTCTATACTCAGTGTAAACAAAAGACTATCGCAAATACTGTCTTTCGATTGACGTACATAGCCATCTCTTTATTAACGCAGCGCCGGTAGCTCTCGCAAAAAAGCCGCAAAATTCAATTTTTTTAAGCTAAAACAATACAATATTTTATATAACTAAATAATTACAATACGATATATATATATCGGCAATGATAATGTTCTTGTCATTTGATCAAAGTTCAGAATTTATTTTCTGTAAAAATAGGGCTAAAACTAAAACCAAAGCTAAAAACGGCGAGCGTTGTATTGACCATTTTTTTATTTATACTCGTTATTACTGCTAGCATAAACCGATAGATCTAAATTTTGAATATGTTGTAACTAAATGTATAACTAATTAAATGATAGTATTCATATCTGTCAGTTTTAAAATTTATAAGAGATTTTTATCTCAAAGTTATAATATGCTCGGGCAATGTAAAAAATTGAAAAATAATCCAGTCATTTAGGCTTGTCGGAAGCGCTAAAGACTCATGAGTATTTCTATGCAAAAATCAACACGATACGATAATTATTAACGAAATGACGGCAGGTTTAAAATTATTTATTTTGTTAAATCGGCGCGCAACAACGCGTCGCTGTCTCGCTTGCCTACTGGGCTGCCCGCGGCCTCGCGTCAAGGTCGTTGTGCAATCCGGACGCTCAATTAATTATTACTGCAAAATCTATTGACACTAAACTTTTCCAAGTTTAAAATGGGGATGGAAAGTAAATAATATAATAAGGGTGGGCGCTTGGAACCGTTGTCGTGCGAACTTTTGTGTGCCTTTCCATTAGGGTAGAAAGTACTACTGGTGGTACTTCTTTTATCCTTATAGATACAGTAATTTTAACACGTCACATATACAGCTAGTATTTTTTAACGTAAAAAAGGTGGCTATATATATTTGTTTAGTTCGAAACGATAAACGGTTTTCAAGATATTAACATTTAAAAGTTGCGATGCATAGATATTAATATTAGCTAAGTGATAAACTGTAAATAAATTAATCTCATCATTCGCTAATACTAAAATCGATGGATGGTAACCTTTAAACGCAAATATCTTGAAAACCGCTCACTGTTTCGAACCAAACGAAGAGCACCTTTTTTTAAGTAAAAAAGTCATAGCATTTTATGTCATTTGTTGAAATTACTGTATCTATAAGGATAAAAGAAGTACCACCAGTAGTACTCTTTACCCCAATGGAAAGTACCCATTCAGGGCTGTTTCGAAATGTTGGCATTAAAATATGTGAAAGAGAACCAAATTTCAAGAAAAACGGTTTACAAATACATACGTTTGGTTGCACTTATACAAAATGCCTAGGTTAGATCGGTATAAAGTAGTTGGAACGATCTTGAATCGTGGCAACCCCTATTTGCGGTAACTTTTTGATTGGTACCCTGTTAAGAGTGTATTCCTCTATTCATAAATATAAGTAAAAATTAGATTTTGATTAACTACATGATGAGCCTACTAAAACTACATGACTAATCCTGCAGCCGAATCTTTCAGAATATATCACCAGATTTGTGATATGTCCATAAACGGTCTAACATACCATCGCGATGAATCATTCTGAATACGCATGAAAAATTATTTGTAATTAAAAATAACTAAAATTCAAATCAATCAAAACATTGCTGAGGTCAACAAGAACTTCTGACGGAGATCTCATATTATGTAGACATTAAAATAAGACAATTTCGAATAATACAATTTTTGTAATTTTAGATCAAACAAGAGGGTGTAACAAAAAGAAGATGTTTTTTCACCCTTGAAGATAACGTTGCACTTTATGGACTAGAAACCATTTGGCGAGATGATAAAGTGGTTGGGTTCTTAAGAAGGGGTAATTATGGATTTTCTTTGGATTGTCCTATTGGAGTTGGGTAATTTTGTATAAAGTATGCATTTTGACTGTCAAATAATACAATTTTTTTCTTCTAGCTATGTAAAACATCCTAAAGGGAAACCTGTTGAAAATGAATTCTTGCTTACAGGCGATTATCAAATTGAAGTTAGAGACAAAAAGTATCCAGCCACTCTATATCTAAGTAGTCCATTTGATCCAACCAATCAGAGACTCTACGGAAAATACGAAAATCAGTTTGAAGAGCAATCTCATTTTGAAGACTGAAATGTGTTTTATTTTTTTATATGTTAAATTTTACTTGCAGTTTCAAGTATGGTACTTGGAATGCTAGGCCTGAAAATGTAATATTTTTGTTAATAACGTATTTTTTAATTATAATGCTATAATTTAGTATAGTTAGAAGAATTTATTATTCACTTTACATAATTGTACAAATAAAATAACCACAGATATTACTGTCGAAAAAATAATTTATAACATCTAAATATGTTGCCCTTTCAGGAACTAACAAATGCCTAATGTCTTTAGTAATCACAAAACAAAATATATTTACTGATCCTTTTTAGACTCTGCCACTGGTTGAACTTCATTTACTTCACCATTTGCAATGGCTTTTTGCTCTTCTTGTTCGGCAGAGTATCCAAATTCATTTCTTCTAGTCTTATCAACTGGATAAATGTACTTTTGGTATAAAAATACTAGAAAAACAATATCATCTCTAAAACAGCCTATCCTATACATTGTAGGCATTTTGATGACAAATGCAAACATGTCATCAATAAATGTATTTAAAAATTTATAAGTTAACATTCTCCAAGGCAGATGTGCTACAGACTTTAATTTATAATTTATAAACAACTGAGGTGTCATCATAATAAATCCAAATGTTAAAAGATATCCATATAATAAATCAAGCACAAATGAATACCAACCTTTATGCTCAAGATATAATAATGCATAAACGCAGTAACCTGCTAATAGCGGAAAACACAACCAAGATAGGTACTTGAAGGCAAGTTCGTCATACACTTTTGTGCTAGATTCAATATAAGACCCCTTATCTTTAAAAATCAATCTACCATTTTCAAATCGAATATCAACAACTTTCCAGATCTTCCAGAGTTCAATGCCCAAACCAACAAAACAAGATACTTTAATAAGCAGATTGGTATCATTATCTAAAACATATAACAAAACTACTAAGCTCTGAAAGACACTGAAAAACACTGATCGTACTGATAAGCCTTCTAGAGAGTTTCTATTGTTCCAGAACTGAATATCGTTTTTAAATGCAAGCAGCTCAAATATAGAGTGTAATAATGAAACAGCTACAGTAATTCCTAATAAATAAGGATTAGTATCCATCAATGTTTCCTTTATGGAATCTTGCTCTTCATCCGTTTGTTGTTGTTCATTATCACTAAACATGTTAAACATACTATTTTTCATTGCCTGAGCAGCATACAACTGCCATTTAAACAAACTCAAGGGCTGAAACGTTAGTTTCAATGAATAAGTCTCATTTAGTGGTTTATAGTCTCTAGCCATATTCCAATAATCATTGGGATATAAAATCGGCTTATAATTTTGTAAATCATCTGTAAATTTGACGAACTGATCAAGCGGGACTGGAAGTGCCCCGTACGTCCAGAGCGTTTGATCAGTAACCAGATTGATTGTGAAATTTGGGTGCCAATGGGAAATAATTTTTCCATCTTCCACTTGGGCCTGCTCAGTTTCTCCAGTAAGAAGGTTCTTCGTTTTACTGGCCTTTAATTTTTTGAATCTGTAACAAATCAAAGTTAATAAAATCCAAATCTATTTAACACAAACCAGATTAAGTATAAAACTGCAATTAAAGAGTGGAAATAACTACCTAACCTAACCTAACCAAAGTATGCCAAAATTATTTTTTTCGGGATAAATGAGAAAAACACAGTAGAACTGAAACTAATAAATTTTTAAAATATCTTTTAAAATACATAATATAATATACATAAACAATAGACGCTTCCGCTTGGCACTTGTAACTTTTGTTAGAACATGCAGCATAGTATTTATTACGTTTCTAATGTAATAACCTAATATTAAAAAATTTGGCACTTACTCCCTTTGGTATTTCCACTCTTCAATTATTGTTTTAAATTTAAAATTGATACATCAGTAAATGAAGTAAACTAATTTTAATAGTAAACGTTTATAAATAATTATATCAAATTTTTTGTTAATGATTGTTTATAGTGCTAGATATAACCTTAATCTAACATAGCTAGTCCTTATGTTAGAGGTTACATTTATAATATTCTTTTACCAAACTTGACTGGTGTTACAGAAAACCTTCTATAGTAGCCAAGGTCATTAGCAATATTCCTTTCGAAATTCGCCGATGATACAGTCAGCTTATATATGATACATACCGGGTGCATCTCAAAAGTGACTCACCCCTATAACTTTTTTATTTTTTCAGATAAAAAAACGAGATTTGGTATCTTAGTATATGGCATAAATTAGGATTGATTGGTGTATTCAATTGTTTTTGGTCACTTCCTGTTTCACCGGAAATGACTACAACTTTTGATTTTTAAATGGCACCCTCGGTATTTTTGTACTTTATTCGATAGAAAATGACATTCTGAATAGAATGACATATCATATGTCAGCTTTTGGCATTCTCGCTTAATAAAAAATTGTATTTTAAAATTCAATCTATAGTGTCATGGCTATGTTTGACTAATTCTTCATCAAGGAGCCTTGGAAAAATAGATTTGATCGTCTAAAGTTTTTAGTGCCTTGTCCTGTGTAAAATTGTCTGTAAGTGTAAAAATCTGTAATTGTCTGTAAGCCTGTAAGTGTAAAAATGTAAGATTAAGAAAAATGTAAGAGTGTCAATCATATCTCAATTTCTTCAAATGGAACGAGGATGGCTCATTAGAATATTTGGAAAAAGCATTTTTTTATGAATAATTTGATACCACACACTTGGTATTTCGAGTCAAATTTTCGTTATGAACCGCAAGTTATAATTTCAAATAAACCATATGCGAAAATGTCAGAAGTTGACATACGATATGTCATTCTATTCAGAGTGACATTTTCTATCGAACAAAGTAAAAAAATACCGGGGGTGTTATTTAAAAATCAAAAGTTGTAGTCATTTCCAGTGAAACCGGAAGTGACCGAAAACAATTGAATGTGTCAATCAATCCTAATTTATGTCATAGACTAACATACCAAATCTCGTTTTTTTAACTAAAAAAATTATAGGGGTGAGCCACTTTTGAGACTCACCCAGTATATAAGCTGACAAGATTCTTCTTCCGAACATGACTGTATGGTTGAATATAGCACACAGTAGGAGCTCCCGTTAACGATGTCGGTTAACAAAACTGATATTTTGGCGAAGATCAAACGGGGCAGATATACATTCGCTTCCATGAAAACCCTGTTTTCCAGCCGAGATCTAAACCTCGAACTGCGCATAAAGGTCACACAAAATAAAAACCGTTGCACGTAATCGATTACACTAAGATTTGTCATCTTATAATAAGTACTTCTAATTAAAACCAGTTTTAAACATATTTCCAACCTGGGAAACACCAATACATGGTTCATGCTGAAGGACAAGTTTAAAGGTACCTGGAGATATCCCAGATCAGTCCACTGACATCAATCGGAGCACGTAATCGTTCGAAGGACGCATCTAAAAGATGTCAGGCTCACAAAAGCCAGAATAGATGTCGAATGTGGTACTGACCACCGACTTTTAATTTCATAAATAAAAATCCAGTTAAAACCCAAACATCCACACTATAAAAAGCAAAACATGACCAGATTGAACATAAGGAGGAATAATCTAGAGAAAACAACTATACCACCAACGCCGCGCCGCGCCGTCCAGAAAGCCATCAAAGAATCACTTCCACCGATAACCTCAATCTCGGAAGCTGAACAAAGCTGGACACAATTATGGATGCAATTTATAATGCCAGCGAAGCAGTGCTGGGAAAATCCAACAAGAAGAAATAACCATTTCATAAACAAAATGCAAAAAACTTTTATCCCAAAAAATTTAATTTTTTGAACGTAGGTAAAGACCAAAATTAATCTAAAATTTAAAATTCCGCTTACGAACAATTCTATTATGCAAAAATAATATCCTACACCAAACGTTTATGGACTTAGAATTAAGTATATTTAATGTAGGACGAATTATAGACCTTTTGTAAACTGAGTATGTAACTAATTATCGTATCACTTAGGGGAAAAAATTCCACAGAGTAAATCAGCCAAGAGAAATCGCTGGAAATAATTTTCAAGTTCAAAAAATGTCCACTAGTAGGACCCTCTGTTATGGCTTATCAGAAAACGATATTTTTCTCAAAAATATGGGCACGAAGAGTATTTTAAATATTTTTATTGTATGCAATGGCAAATTAGTAATTTTTGTAGTAGGTACAACGTATTTTGCTCTACCTCATAAAATAAAGTGGTGGGAGAGGTTAAACTTGCTTTTATTAAAATAAGGACAACTCTGGTTTCGGTAAACGGAAATAAACAACCTAGAGTTCGTTAACAAGAGCTTTTCTTTTCTAATAGAAGAAGAAGAAATTTAACTTTCAAGCCGCATCAGCATCAAAGGCTATTTAGCGGCGTATCACATGCCATTTTAGTATGGAACAATATTTGACATTTTACTAAACAACACGTTTATAGATAGATTGTATATGTTAAGAGTACAGACACTGATTTTGTACAAATAAAAAGTAAATGGCAGAGACAACAAGAATAAATCAATAAAACGTAAAAATATATACAATTGAATTAGTAATTGGTTGCTTTAAACCAAAATGTAGTTTTTTAGATACCTATATTTCAGATATATATCCCGATCTTTCCAGAAAATCAAAAAGTTTTGGTTGCTCACTTGTAGAGAAAATAACCGACATGTCTGATAATTGCAGGCCTCTCTTAGGTTAATTAACTGATTACATTCCTTAAGGATATGCTTGACAGTTAATTTTCTAATAATATGCAGAATAAACTTTGTCTACATAAATTTTGCCGTGGTAGGTAGAGGGCGCATAACAAATATTGCGCTTTCGCATAAAAAATTTAATGGCAGCCTGTTTCTTTTTACATAGTTAAATAGAGCACAACATTTCAAAACACCTTCAACACCGCAACTTTCGACCTCCTCTCTAAAGAGAGATGCTACGAAAAAAAACTAGACCTATTATGGTATAATTAACAGGGTTGGCAAAAATCATGACTTAAAAAAAATTGGCGCCGGGAGGCACGTTTAGCCGCCCATACTAAAATATGTTAATATCTCGAAAACTGCGACTTTGACTGATTTTGATGTTATTACAAATTTTGTTGCAAATATTATTCCTAACCTTAATTTGAAAACCGCGTTTCGCTAGCTACTGTATTTTGGAGTTACGATTTTTTTAAATTTTTAACCCCCTCCCATACCCCCTTACCAACCCCCCACCCCCACCAAAAACTAATGGCCAGATTCTCGGGTGCCACAGTATTTTTGTGCCAAATTTGGTTAAAATCGGTTCAGCGGTTTTTGAGTTATCGTGTTACAGACGGACAGACAGACGGACAGACAGACAGACACCATGAAAATATTTTGTATTTAGGTCATTTATGACCCAAATAACTCATTTTGAGTGAAATTAAAAAAAACTTTTTCTTTGCCGATCCTAATAGCCTACCATACCTATTGGTATGGTCGGCTAAAAAGAAACATATATTTTTATTAAAATCCTATTTTTTTATTTTAATAGGAAACATTATTTAAATCGGAATTCCAAATAATGAGGACATATTTATAATTACAGTTCTGTTCTAAATGACTAAATATTCGTAACTCTGCCCGATACCGATACCGATAACTGGACCAAACTTGGAAAGAACTAGAAGATAAATTGGAGAAGGCAAGTTATCTTGATCAACATACAACTGTTTCAAAAAAGATATAAAACAGCATATTTTCTGACGATTATAGATTCTCGGAAATGGAGATATAGTTTAACATCAGAAGAAATTAGTTCTGCATTAAAGATTGCGAATGAAATGTATTCGAACAGCGAATTTTTGTCAGTTGTGTATAAAATTCAAAATAAATCTCTGCCGTTTAAAGGTCTAATAAATTCACACAAAATTACTTCAAAAATAGGTCCAAAATTTTAATTGATGAATAGATATGAAGTAGGTATATGTGTTATACAAATTATTTTTTATATAGTTTTATAACATTTACAATAATTTTTGATTTATTAAAAATATTTAAACGTTACAATTGCAAGTGTAACATTTTATTTGATGAACAAATATAGGGTATATCTGTAATAGAACTATTTTTTAGTTTTCTAGAACACATTTTTTACGGCATATTTTTCTAGGACACCTTTTACACATATTTTTCAATTTAATAAAGATTTAAAAATGTTGATTTTTTTATTTAAATGAAATGAAAAAATTACTTGATTTAATTTAAATCACGATTTCAAATCATGATTAAATATTTTTTGAAAATTCTTTATTATAAAGGTGGGTGTGAATTAAATCAAATGATTTTTTAATCATGCAAGATTTAAATCAAAGTCATGCCATCCCTGATAATTAAAAATTAAAAGTATGCTAGGAAACAAAAAGAGGTAAATAGATACGGTCAAAGCATTAAACCGTTTTAGTTTCAATTTAATGATTAAAATCTTCCACGTGCTCTACAGACCGCAATGACTGGAAGGTTAATGTGTAAAGAAAATATAGAAT